CAAAATATTTCTAGCACCATGCTCAGCCAGACAAGCCCCCCTTTTTTCTTGTTATAGATTGCTGGAGAATAAATTTTCCAGAGATTATTTTTGGCTCATTGTTATCAGGCTTGCTTTCAAAACAACTTGCACAATGTGTTGTTTCCGGAATGAACGCGTGATACGAGGAACATGCAAATGTAAACATATTTAAGCTGTACATGTGATGTTGTAATGTAAAGGTATAATTTTAATTTTGCTGATTGTGTATATCACTACTATTGGCATTACATTCAGTGATATATGGGAACTGTGGTTTATGAGTAACATTTGAACAATTTTTTTCTAAAGATACTTTATAGTCTGCTATAGAAGGAGATCCATAGGAGTGACACAATGAGTGACTGCGCTGGGTGACAGCAACCCTGTTTAAGATTTGAATATTGTATCCGTCAAATCTAAAACAGGCACATGTGTAGCTTCCCCAAATTAAATCTGTGAGGAAGTTAGAAGATTATTTAAGGAACCATACAAATCAGACCAAGACTCATACAATTAAGTTCTTAGTGATAACACAAGCCAACAAATACAGTATTTTTAATTAAGATATAATTTTAGATCATTCTTATAGTTTTTTGTGCTGAATTCAGATCTGTGTTTATTTTTTCTCTGTCACGTGTAGTTTTTGCGATGAGGCTAATCAGATAATGAATGTATTTACGCACTGATATCAATAGAATCTAACTGATATCAGTGTGTAAATGCATTCATTATTCAATTAGCCTCATTGCAAAAACTACACATTATGGTGACCCAGGAATTTTATAGGAAGACTCAGAAGTGAAATATTAATAAAGCTTCTAAGCATCACAGCTCAAAAGAGATATAAACAAGCTGGAAGGTGTCCAGAGGAAGGCAACTGAAAGGATCAAAGATCTGTTGACCACTAATCCTTATGAGGAGTGTCTTAAAGAGCTGGGTCTGTTTAGCCTGCAGAAGAGAAGGTTGAGAGGAGACATGATAGCCATGTTTAAATATGTGAAAGGTTGTCATAAGGAAGAGGGAGCAGGTTTGTTTTCTGCTGAAACTCAGTCTCAGTGCAATAGGTCCAAATTACAGGAATGGAGATTCCACCTGAACATTAGGAAGAACCTCCTGACTGTAAGAGATGTTCACCAGTAGAACTCTCTGCCTCGAGGTGCGACGGAAGCCCCTTCCTTGGAGGCTTTTAAACAGAAGCTGGGTGGCCATCTCATCATCATCATCAATCACTTGTATCCAAGTAGGATGGCCTTCCAAGTGTAGGGTCTCGGTGGTGGATTCGTAGGTGACTGTGGAGACCTATTCTTTACCTGCACGTTCTTCCACAATGTGGCCAGTCCAGCCGAGTTGATGGCGGAGGATGATCACTTCAGTGCTGATCATCTTTGTTTCTTCCAGCACGCTGATGGTTATCTGACTGTCTTCCCAAGAGATTTGCAGGATTTTTCAGAGGCAACACTTAAATTGTTCCATGAGTCGAGTGTGACATCTATAGATGGTCAACGTTTCACAGGTTTGGGAGGACAATCGCTTTGTGAAGCATCTTGGTCTCCTTACAAATGTTCCGATCCTCAAACACTTTGTTTAATTTGCAGAATGCTGCACTCGCAGAGCTCAGATGGTGTTGTATTTCAGTGTCGATGTTGATTTTTGTGGAGAGGTGGCTGCCAAGGTAGCAGAAATTGTCAACATTTTCTAACATTACATCATTAAGATGTATTTCTGGTATTGCAGAGGGACAGGCTGGTGCCTTCTGAAAGAACACTTTGGTTTTCTCAATGTTCAGTATTTATTTATCATGGCTGAAGTGAGTTGAGACTACAGTTAAAATGCATTTAAAAACACAAAGTTTTTTTTTAAAAAAATAACTTGGCATTATGCTAAATGTCCTTTGACCAACAACTGGCCACTTGGAGTGCCTCTGGTGTCGCTGTGAAAAGATCCTCCACTGTGCATGTGGCAGGGCTTAAGTTGCATTGTAGTAGGTGGTCTGTGGTTTGCTCTTCTCCGCACTTGCATGTTGTGGGCTCCACTTTGTGGTCCCATTTCTTAAGGTTGGCTCTGCATCTTGTGGTGTCAGAACGCAGCATGTTCAGCACCTTCCAGGTCGTCCACTCTTCTGTGTGCCCAGGAGAGAGTTTTCTCATCTAGTCTCAGCCACTGATTGAGGTGCTGGATTTTAGCCTGCCACTTTTGGACTCTTGCATGCTGAGGTGTTCTTGAGAGTATCTCTGTAGATCTTAGGAAGCTGTTTCTTGACATAAAGCGTTGGCATGTTGGCTGATATCCGAACAGAGGATGGGCCGAAGATGTCAATGCCTTGGTCCTTTTATTATAGGCTGCTACTTCCTAGCGGATGTCAGGTGATGCAATACGGGCTAAACAGTATAATTTCTCTAGTGGTGTAGGGCATAGACATCCCGTGATAATGGGGCATGTCTCATTAAGAGCCACATCCACTGTTTTAACATGGTGTGTTCCACACTAAGTATGCGTATTCAGCAACAGAGTAGCAAAGTGTATGAGTAGATGTCTTCACTGTATCTGGTTGTGATCCCCAGGTTGTGCCAGTCAGCTTTCGTATGATATTTTTTCTAGCGCCCACGTTTTGCTTGATATTTGGGCAATGCTTCTTGTACCAAAATACCATGGTAATTCCCAGGTATTTTGTTGTGCTGCAATGCTCCAGTGGGATTCCTTCCCAGGTAATCCTCAGAGCTCGAGATGCTTGTCTGTTCTTAAGATGAAAAGCACATTGCATTTAAGATGGATTAGGAATCAGCTGCTTTTCCTTGTAATGGGCAGTAAGAGCACATAAATCTTCAAAGAGCTTCTGTTCAAACATTTCAAAGCTCCCTGCTTGAGCGGTGATGGCATGATTGTCAACATAGATGGAACTCTCTGTCCCTTCTGGCATTGGCTGATAATTTGTTGGGCTCTGCTGCAAAAGGGACCCTGAGGCCTAGGCATGTAGCTGGGGGGGGGGGGGGGGGCGGGGGCTTCAGCCCCCCCCCCCCAAATTCTCATGGTGGTCTGTGAAAAGGCCTTACTGGTACATTATTTAAACTGTTATGTTTATTCATATCATTATCTGATCACCATGCTCAATATATCCCATATGCATGGGGGTATTGGGGTAACAATACAAAAGGTTTGCTAGGGTAGACCCTCTTTCACTCAGACTCAGACCCCCCCCCCCCCCCCCCCGAATCAAAATCCTGGCTACAGGCCTGCTGGCGCCTGAGTATTGCCATCCAGCTTTGATGCCTGCTCAGCCCTGGGCTTATCCACGAGGAGACCTGCATTCACACCCTCATTCCAGCCAGCTGACCCAGCAGGGAGAGAACATGGCCTCCGCAACCTCACCGCGCTGCTACTTTAATGGCCTCGCCACCCATTGCCCGGCTGCCTGAATACCTGTGCCGGGTGCCTCCATAGCCACGCTACCCATCATTTGGACATTGGAACAGCTGTGCGGGCGCTTGTTTTCGGGGTTCCCCTGCCTCTCCTGTTGCTTCAGACCACTTTTTCCATCAGCCCACTTTGGTTGGGATTCAATGTTTACTTTTAAGCTCTTTTTTGTATTTCTATTTGAATTATTGTATGTTTACTTTTAAGCTTTTTATTGTATTTCTATTTGAATTACGTCTAAGCTTATTATTGTATTTATATGCGAATTATTATTTCATTTATTATTGTATGTTTACATTGATATGTTGTTTAAATTCATATGTTACGTTTATTATTATATGTGTAAGAATGAAGCAGAGTGTTTGAGGACCGGGACATCCGTAGGGATACCAAGGTGCTTGTTTATAGAGCTATTGTCCTCCCAATCCTGCTATATGCCTGTGAGACGTGGACTGTCTACAGACGTCACATGCAACTCCTGGAACGATTCCATCAGCACTGCCTCCAGAAAATCCTGCAAATATCTTGGGAAGACAAGCGGACAAACGTCAGCGTGCTGGAAGAAGCAAAGACCACCAGCATTGAAGTGATGGTCCTCTGCCATCAACTCCGCTGGGCCGGCCACGTTGTCCGGATGCCTGACCACCGTCTCCCAAAGCAGTTGCTCTACTCCGAACTCAAGAACGGAAAACGGAATGTCGGTGGATAGGAAAAGAGATTTAAAGATGGCCTTAAAGCCAACCTTATAATCTCTGGCATCGACACTGAGAACTGGGAAGCCCTGACCCTTGACCGCTCCAGCTGGAGGTCAGCTGTGACCAGCAGTGCTGCAGAATTCGAGGAGGGACGAGTGGAGGGTGAAAGAGAGAAACGTGCCAGGAGGAAGGCGCGTCAAGCCAACCCCGACCGAGACCGCCTTCCACCTGGAAACCAATGCCTTCACTGTAGGAGAAGATGCGGGTCAAGAATAGGGCTCCAGAGCCACCTACAAACCCACAAAAATAGTCATCAAGGAAGACCATCTTACTCGTCCAATGAGGGATTGTCTAAGTAAGTAAGTAAGTAAGGCAGCGTTACCTGAATCCCCCACTGGGGTGAGAAGGGTAGTATAATAATAATAATAATAATAATAATAATAATAATAATAATAATAAATATTAAACATTGATGGCGCTAGCAAGCTCCCCCAGAGGCAGGCCATTCTTCTATTTGTGCTGTCTGCTTCTCTGGCCCTGGAACTCAACACAAAAGTTCCTGTTTTGTAGCAGATCTGAGAGGCCAAGGCTGGCCATCTGTGGGGGATGCTTTGATTGTGCTTTCCCTGCATGGCAGAGGGTTGGACTAGATGGCCCAGGTGGTCTCTTCCAACTCTATGACTCTGTAATGCTCTGATTCTATGATTCGTAGCTTCCTCTTCAAATGATTTATTGTTCAAATGAGATTTATTGTTTAACTCTCACTTCTCGCGAGAGTTCCCTCTCTGCCCCTTTAAGGAGGAACGCCTACCTACTGAGCATGCGCGCCCGCCTCCTGCCCAGTTCTCGCGAGAAGAGGCTGCTTCTCCAGAAAGCCCATCATGGCGGCGCTGTCTGGGTCTCCCTCGGCTGCTCTCCCCTCCTTGGCGGCGGGGACCCCGAATCCCGCCCCGGCCTTGCCACTGGGCCCGCCGGGCTACCGACCCTTCGAGCCCGAGGCGGTGGGGCTGAGCCCCGGATGGAGGCTCACCGGCTACGGGGAGCTGCGGGGCTGAGGCTGCAAAGTCCCCCAGGAGACGCTGCTCAGGCTCCTGGAGGGACTCAGCGGCCCTCGGCCAGGCTTGGCGGAGGCGGGGGAGCCGGTGGCGGCCACGGGAACGACTCCCACCCTCGGTGAGGCCTAGGGCAGGCGGGAGGGCGGGTCCCGAGGCGGAAAGAGTCTCTTGAGAAGCCTTCTGGTTGATGGGCCCTTGTTGTGAGGAAGGGCCTTCGAAGTCTGACTCTGAGAGCCATACATTGGCAGGAAGACGCTTGAAAGAGAACCCCAGAGTTAGACAAAGGCAAATGCACGATACTACACTTTGGTAGGAAAAACAAAATGCAAAGATACAGAATGGGGGACGATGCCTGGCTCGAGAGCAGTATGTGTGAAAAAGATCTTGGAGTCCTTGCAGACAACAAGTTAAACATGAGCCAACATGTGGCGGCAAAAAAAGCCAGTGGGATTTTGTCCTGCATTAATAGGAGCATAGTGTCTAGATCTAGGGAAGTCATGCTACCCCTCTATTCCACTTTGGTTAGACCACACCTGGAATATTGTGTCCAATTCTGGGCACCACAATTCAAGAGAGATATTGACAAGCTGGAATGTGTCCAGAGGAGGGCGACTAAAATGATCAAGGGTCTGGAGAACAAGCCCTATGAGGAACGGCTTAAGGAGCTGGGCATGTTTAGCCTGAAGAAGAGAAGGCTGAGAGGAGATATGATAACCATGTATAAATAAGTGAGAGGAGGCCGCAAGCTTGTTTTCCGCTTCCTTGCAGACTAGGACGCGGAACAATGGCTTCAGACTACAAGAGAGGAGATTCCATCTGAACATGAGGAAGAACTTCCTGACTGTGAGAGCCGTTCAGCAGTGGAACTCTCTGCCCCGGAGTGTGGGGGAGGCTCCTTCTTTGGAAGCTTTTAAACAGAGGCTGGATGGCCATCTGTCAGGGGTGATTTGAATGCAATATTCCTGCCATATAGCCCGAAAAAACCCACAAGAACCTAATATTCCTGCTTCTTGGCAGACTGGGGTTGGACTGGATGGCCCATGAGGTCTCTTCCAACTCTTTGATTCTATTAAAGGGCCCCACCACCCTCTTGCAAGCAAATTAGTCAAATATGGACTGTGCCAGTGTTTCTCCACCTTTCTAATGTTGCAACTCCTTAATATAGCTCCTCATTTTGTGGTGACTCCAACCATAAAATTACTTTTGTTGCTACTAATGTAAATATCTGATATGCAGAATGTATTTTAATTCACTGGACCAAATTTGCAACACAAATACCTGATACCCCCAAATTTGAATACTGGTTGAATTGGATGGGGGATTGATTTTGTCATTTGGGAGTTGTGGTTGCTGTGATTTATAGTTCACCTACAATCAAAGAGCATTCTGAACCCCACCAACGACAGAATTGGGCAAGACTTCCCACACAACACTCTGTCACATTGCCAGGGCTCTGCCTTATTTAGGTAGATATGAATCAAACTCCCAGTTTTATCAAACAGTTTAATTACAACAGCACTTACTTGCTGGCTGTTTTAATAGACCAAAATATAAAACACAAAGATAGCATTCAGCTACAGAATAAATAAAAACTGATAGCAAAAATAACTTCGTAGTCAAAAGGGTCAAGTCCAGTGGCCCAACACCAAGAGTTCAATAATAAGAGTCCAAGGATCAAGAGTCTATACCGTAGTCAAAAGCCAGTCCAAAGGTTCAAGGTTCCAAGATTACAGGAGACAGGTCAGGATACCGAAAATCCAACAGACCTGGGGAAAAAACCAGCGGCATCCACCACCAAAATGCAACAGATACTTTCCCCCCAAAGATCAGTGCCAAGGCTAGCTCCTTATATCTAGAAACACCCATCTCTTGCATACCTCCACCCTTAATTGCTTTCACCCATGAAGTCTTACTTTCAGATTACTAAACCCTTTCAACACCAAGCACCATCAACTGCAGAACATATCACACACGCCCTGCCTTGAGGTCTTCAGCCTTCTTTGCCAAAGGGGTTCCTAAGACTATCAGAAATGTGTGTTTTCTTATGGTCTTTGGTGACCCCTTGGAAACCCCTTCGTGACTCCCCCAGGGGTCCTGACTCCCAGGTTGACAAACTCTGGACAAGCCAATGCTCCTATTAGGTGGATCTGTCATTGATTAAGTGGCCAAACCCAAAGGGTGCTCACCAATAGTTCCTCTTCACCCTGGAAAGAAGTGACTAGCGGAGTGCCACAGGGTTCGATCCTGGGCCTAGTAATAATAACAATCTTTATTTATACCCTGCCACCATCTCCCCGATGGGGACTCGGGGCGTTTTACACGAGGCCAAGCCCAAACAACAAATTACAGCAGATAAAACTGAAAACAGAAACCAAAAACGCAGACAATAACAACATCATAATTACATAAAACATGTGAATGCGTAGCAATGTAAAATTACAATAAACACAATCACAGTGACAAAGGGTGGGCTACATGTAATGATCAAAAGAAAAAAATATTAAAAACTAATTAAAAACTCGGGTGAGATAAAGGAGAAGCAAGTTATTCACGGAGGAGGGCTATTCAACATCTTTATAAATGACTTGGATGAAGGTTTAGATGGCGTGCTTATCAAGTTTGCAGCTGATACCAAATTAGGAGGGATAGCTAATACCCCAGGATTAGAATTCAAAATGACATTAACAGATTGGATAGATGGACCAAAACTAACAAAATGGATTTCAACATGGGCAAATGTAAGATATGACACTGAGGCTGAAAAAATGAAATGCAAAGATACAGGATGGATGATGCCTGGCTCGACAACAGCCCATGTGAGAAAGATCTTGGTTCCTTAGTGGACAACAAATTGAACATGAGCCAACAGTTTGATGCAGCAGCTAAAAAAGCTAATGGGATTTTGGGCTGCATCAAAAGGAGTATAGTGTCTACTAGATCAAGGGAAGTCATTGTGCCCCTCATCCCTATCTCTTGCTTTGTTCCTTCCTTGGTATCAGTTCGTATCAGTATTCTTGTACCTGCTTTCTCAACAGCTTGCATTCCCCCTCCTGCCTCCCTTGTCTGAGCTTCCTGCTTTCAGTGGATAAATTTCCACTTCAAGACCTCCTCTCTTATCAGTGCTCTCTTAGCAGTTGTTTGTATTCTTGCACCTGCTTGTTATTAGATTGAACTTTTCCCTACAATTCTCCCGTTTTGGTTCTCTCACTCCCTGCTGTTCCATCGGCGAGACTTTGAACTTAACATTGACTGGGTACAAGAAACAGGTCTTTAATTCTAACAGCTTGTTTAGTGATTGAATCTCTGTCAGTTCACTCCAGAGTCTTGGGGGCGGCTGATAAAAACGTCTTCTGGGTGACTGTTGCCAGTCTAGTCCTGGCTACTTGGAGTAAATGTCCCCCAGAGGACCTGAATGCATGGGTGGATTATATGGGGAAACATGTAATAACTAGGGCCTCTTACAGGGAGCGGTCAACCCCCCTGTTTAAGGAGCACCATTGGCTTCCGTTTATCTTCCGGTCTCAATTCAAGGTACAGGTTCTTACCTATAAAGCCCTAAACCAGTGATTGCCAACCTTTTGAGCTTGGTGTGTCAAAATTTGCCAAAAACCTGAGCATAACTTGGGTGGGGTGTCAACTTCGAGGGGAAAAAAAACATAATTTTGCAATATTTATAGTTTAAATAAGAAAAATGTATATTCCATGATGAGTTATGGAGTGAACAATGCTCAAACGTTCAGATGTTAAATTTGTAGAGCCTTTTACAAATTTAAGGATGGAATTAGATTGGCTCTTATAAGGTGTACTTCGCTGTATGCRGCCACATGTGGCCACGTGCCATCAAAAATAACCATGCATGTCAGTGCTGACACGCATGTCATAGGTTCACCATCACGGCCCTAAACGGTTTGGGACCCGCCTACCTTCGTGAYCATATTTCTCTCCATGAACCAGCCCGAACCCTTTGATCTTCGGGCAAGGCCCTCCTTTCGCCCTTGCCAGTCTCTCAGACTCACCGTGTGAGTACAAGGGAGAGAGCYTTCTCCTCTGTGCCCCCCTGACTCTGGAATTCATTACCCGGAGAGATTGGGAAAGCCCCTATATTAGAAACCTTTAAAAAGAGTCCTGGCTCTGCTGTTGCGCTTTTGGAGAGTAGCCACATAACATTATGCTAGTGCTCCCTCAATGTTCTTCTCCCAGGAGTCCCCCCCCCCCCAAAGTACGAAGGTTTGTTTATTTTCCTGTCTCTCTATGAGTTCTCCCTGACAATTAGTTTTGCCCCCTTATCTCACCTGGAGTTTTAAAATCATTTTATGTACATGTGGCCCACTCTCTGTCATTATATTTGATTCCTATGTTCTGTGTGTATTGTTTTATATGTTTTGATGTTTTACATTTTAATTTTATGTTGTTTATTTTATTGCAATTTGTACTGTTATATTGTAGTTTGTTGTTCGGGCTTGGCCCCATGTAAGCTGCTCCGAGTCCCCGTTGGGGAGATGGTGGCGAGGTATAAATAAAGTTTATATTATTATTATTATTATTATTATTATTATTATTGCTTGTGTGTTATAAATAGAAGTTGAGCAATACTTATATGGACATTTGAAATATTCTGAAAGTGATGGTGGCAGAACCTTGATAGCAGTCAAAGGCAATCACAAGAGAATCTTGGAAATATCTTTAATGCCAGGTTACTACACTACATCATAGTTACAACTAAAGAAAACTCGGAAAACATTCAGTTCAATACCCCCTTGAAACCCTACCCCCTCAGTTCACAAAAATTCTACAGGCAGCTGCCCCTTCCAGTCTGAGCTGGCTCTTGTGGTTAGTTTTTCCCCCATGGTGGGCTTCCCAATGTTTTGCATTCTTCACCTTGGATGAATTTATGAGTTGGGTGCTCTGGTGTCTCAGAGACATTACACCAGTCTCCATGACACAGAAATTGTCCAGATGGGTGACTAAGATAGTGAGAGCCTTGCTTCGTGATTGTTTAGTGCACCTAAATTGTATGTAATGCTCAAAATTAGTAAAAATATTGTATAAAATTACCTTCAGGATATGTGTATAAGCTGTATACATGTATACAATTTATTTATTTATTTATTTCAGGTATTTTTACCCCGCCTTTCTCAACCCCCTAGGGGGGACACAGGGTGGCTTCCAGCCGGCACATATTCAACGCCTACAATTAAACACAATAAAATACACAACAAACAGTAATTATAAATAATTAAAACATTTAAGTTAATACAATAAAATCTACTAAAAAGGATGCCAGCCTGGTGGCCATCGTTTCGCCGAGTTCTGTAATTAGTAAGTCCATTCAGCTTATCATAATCCGTTTCCAAAGCTCTAGTCTTCATTGTCCTTGTCAGTCTGCCAGGTTACCCAAAGTCCTGGTCCCATACCCATGTTTTTAATTTCCTTCTAAAAGAGAGGAGGAATGACGGTGATCTAATTTCCCCGGGGAGTGAATTCCACAGGCAGGGGGCTACCACCAAGAAGGCCCTGTCCCTCGTCCCCGCCAGTCTCGTTTGTGACAAGGGCGGGGCCGAGAGCAGGGCCTCTCCAGAAGATCTTAAATTCCTAGGTGGGAGGTAGAAGGAGATACATTTGGACAGGTATGCTGGGCTGGAGCCGTACAAAACTTTATTACAGTCACTGACCAGCACAAAGCGGGGCACAGGCGCCCTGGGAAGGGAAACACAGCTCCCCTGTGAAGCAGTTATATGTATAAAAATCATCATTATATTTGGGCCTGATCACCATGATACCTTGTTATGTGTGTACATATATGCAAATAATGGATACTCCAAAATTCCAAATGTTTTTGATTCTGAGCATTTCGGATAAGGGATACTTATCCTGTGCTTGTAGAGGTTCTACAACGCATGTGGCCCTTCCTCTCCACAGGCATTGGGATGGACTCCTGTGTGATCCCTTTGAGACATGGGGGCCTGTCCCTTATACAGACTACAGACTTCTTTTATCCACTGGTGGAGGATCCCTACATGATGGTGAGCACAGAGAATGGGAGTACAACAGTAGGAGGGGGAAAGGGTTGCTGAGAAGGGAGCTGTATCTGTTATACAGCACTATATATTTGTGCTTGAAACAGTTATAAACTTATTTGAAATAATGGTCTTGTGTGTGATCTTCTTTATTGAATGCTTTGTATCTGATGTAGGGTCGAATTGCCTGTGCCAATGTTCTAAGTGACCTCTATGCAATGGGCATCACAGAGTGTGACAACATGCTTATGCTGCTGAGTGTGAGCCAGAAAATGAGTGAGGAGGTGAGAAGCAATATATCAAAATGAGAATTTTAAAAATGTTTTTATATGACATTCTGTATGACCACTGCCCATTTTTGTTCCTGAGTTATAAATGTCATTTCCTAATTGTTTCTATCATAAAAACATGGAAAAGGTATATTAAAACGCAAGAACTTTGTTTTGCACATAATTTTTCAGTGAACATCTCATAGTCTCAACAAATTCAACATGGTTTGTGGCAGCCACAAAAAATGAAGTTTCTTGAGTATAACAATTATTTTCAAAGTAAATACCGCACCATTAAACAGAAAATAACTCTTTCAAACCAGGAACAGTTTTTTTTTTCAAATTTTGTTACATAGTCTTATTTGCTGAGATGTCAAGGCAGTTTGAAGTGATTCAGATATCATGCTAAATCTTAATTTGCAGCATCATTGTTTTTTAGAATCAAGGGCTTGTTTGTATAGCCATATCTTTAGTCAAATCATAATTTAGAATTGTGTATCTGCTTTTGTTTTCTGTAGAAGACTCCTGTTTCTGTGGTGAAACAGCTTCCTCTAATCCAGTGGTTGCCAATCTTTGGTCCTCCAGGTGTTTTGGACTTCAACTCCCAGGAATCCCAGCCAGCTGACTATCTGTGGGATTGTGGGAGCTGAAGTCCAAAACACCTGGAGGACCAAAGGTTGGCAACCATTGTGTAAAGGAATAACTGCAACAATGACTTTCCAGTTCATATATCTACACCAAATAATTGATTTGATTTTTTGATAAATCCTCATTTGTAAGCTCAAGTATCTTACCAAGCCATCTTTCGAATTGATATTTGAAGCAAACACATGTAACCAAACTGTGTTTTATGAGAACCACTATTATATTCTTTTTTTGAACTGCAGATAGGAAGTTACTGAGTTCTAACTTTCCAAAGTAGTTCTGATGATTGCAGACAGTTTCCTGAATCTTTTGTTGTACTTTCACCCAGGAGCGAGATAAAATCATGCCACTGATAATCAAGGGCTTCAGGGATGCAGCAGAAGAAGGTGGCACTTCAGTAACTGGTGGGCAGACAGTCTTGAATCCTTGGATTATTGTTGGAGGGGTTGCAACAGTTGTTTGCCAGCCCAATGAATTCATCATGTGAGTATTGAGAGCTCATTGTGAGAGAATTTGAGAAAGCAGTCTATAGGATAATTGATGTATTTGCAGAAAAGATAATTGCATTCCAGTGTTAACTCCTGATAGAATGTGATGATTTTTGCAGGATTACAGAGCTGACTTATAATGAAAGTGAAGAATAGCTTGTTTAACAGAATTAAAGATTACTCAAGGATAGGAGAAGAAATTGGGCTGGAAAGTGAAAAACCCTTATCCCAATTCAAGGGCAAATGTGGTACAGGTGGCTATCAAATCATGTGCAAAGTGTAACAATTATGACACTCCAAATAGTTTCAAACCATTCTGCTTCTGAAAATCAGAACAGGCTTTGTAAACAGTGTGGATAGAATATTTTTGGAATTATAAATAAACCCTCATCTTGGAGCTTAATGGGTGCAATAACAATAAGAGTTTTTCATTGATCTACTGGATCTGACTGTCCCATTTCCTCTGGAAGATGTTGGTTTGAACATGTCAGATTTTGCACCTATTTTCTTGTCATATTCAGATTATTTGCTTTTAAGATTTAGTTTTATTGCAGTTTTGGATACTAGAGAAATATGAGAAATTTCTGAGGACCCTGAGATATTTTCTAACTGAAGATGTTGCTAAGTTTATTGTGTCAAATAGGGAGTATCTGTCCGGATCAAGAACACGAACACAGTAAATAATTCTTTGACATAAGGCCATTTCAGGCATCTTGAACTTATGTTACTTCTGAAGAAATTTGTCTTGGAATCAAAAGGTATGGCAGCTAATATATTCTTGAGGACAGTGCTTGATTGAGTCGTTGTTGGCCAATTTCAAATGTTTTTGGATGAACTTGTATCTTTCAGCTGAGTTTTTAAGCATGATTTTGCTGCAAGATACAGTGAAAATTTCTAGATACATAGGAAAAGATGCATAGGAAAAAAATTCTAGATGCCTAGGAAAACCACTGCACATTAACATAAACCCTTCTTTAGGGGAATTTGTGATTCAGAGTTCTCAATCTGGTATAAAACCACTGCTGTAATAGGCAAATGCCTGCTTATTTTTCCAGGCTTCTTAATGTGCTTTAGTTTTATATTGCTCCTTCTCTGGGCTTTTTTCAAGCAGTGCTGGGGATATTCTTGTTCTTATTATTGAATTACAGTTCTTTTTGTTAACCATCCTGAATATATCAATATTGAAAGGCATATATAAACCAAGCACTAAAGTTCAAGCATTCAAGTTATTTTTTATTTTTATTCTAGGCCAGACAGTGCAGTTCCAGGAGATGTCCTCGTATTAACTAAACCATTAGGGACTCAAGTGGCTGTGAATGCTCATCAGTGGCTAGATAATGTAAGTGATAATGTAGTATCTTTGGGAAAATGTTGGGATTCCTTTGGTGTTCCTATGTGCTGTTGAGACCCAACGGAGGGGCAGGGGATTCCTCTTTACATGCACAAAAAGGGAGAGGTTGGAAGGAAATGAATTGTCAAGGTAATAGGCATAGGATTATTGCAGGTCTTAGTCTGTAAACTATGTGTAGCTCTACTAATGTTGGGCTGTCAACTCCCAGCATCCTTTTGGCTGTGTTGACTACAGCTCATGGCAGGTGCAGTCCAACAATGTTGGTAGGGGCATGGTTACTCACATGAATGAACAGAGATATACTGAGACTAGTGTGGCCTGGGTGCATACTTAAGTCCATCTCCAAAGATTACTGGGTGATCATGATCTCATCACTTCCTAACTGTCTAGAATTATATTGCATTGTTTTGTTTTGTTTTAAAGTGTGTATTTGTGAGTACCATATCACAGTTTTATAAAGGATGCATAAAATATAATATGGATCAGGAAAAAGAGAGCTCTATCAGCAATGTCTAGCCCTAGCTGAATATTCATAATGTAAGATTTAAAATGTAGGCAAGAATAGGGTTGCAGAGGGCCACATAGGTTTCCATCCCTTCTGGCAGGTGATTCTTCACCCCATCCTCAGAACTTGTACCATATACTTGAAGTGATAGTAGTAGATTGGTGAGCAAGATGTTTGATGCATCCACAAACTATTGGCCTCCAAATAGTATTTTTTTTTCCACTGAAGTTTACTACAGTTTTGCAGCACAGACTTGAAGTTTTGAGGGAGAGGGGAGATCCATATATTTGCTACTGAAAAAGAGCATCTGAATAATGTTTAAAATCCTTTATTTCTTTTCCAGCCAGAGCGATGGAATAAGATTAAGCTGGTGGTTTCCAGAGAAGATGTTGAACTGGCTTACCAAGAAGCCATGTTTAGTATGGCTATGCTGAACAGAACAGGTAGGGGACCTCGAGTGCGATCTTAGATCTGTTCTTAATTTCAGTTTAAAAGTAGTGAGTGCTGTGCTACTCATATTTTTTTTAACATGGAATATTTTATTTTGGAGCTATTTTGGGAAACGTTTAATCCACCTTAATTGCTTAATGAGGGCAGAAAGATGTAGGGTAGATTTTAAAAAGAAGGTTCTGTGTATTTTTCAAGATTATCAGAGCATTTGACTTTAAAATGTAGTTATAAAGAAAAAAACTACAATTAAATGAGCCTCCTGAATGCTAGCTTATTTGCCAGCATATTTTTATTTAAAGAAGGGAAAAATAAGTTTAAAACTATGGAACAAGAGCCTTGTTTTCATAGATATATTAGAGAACCTCCATTTTTACATACAGAATTCAACTCACCTCTCTTCCTCTCAAAAAGGATGAAAGGTATGAATTTCAGATGTTCAGAAATGACTAGATGGTCTGCATTGAACTGTCAAATACATCTATGGCTAAACCAAACCAATTATGTCATATATTACTTTGTAAAATCGCAGTGACAGTTTAATGGCCAAAATCAACATTATCAGTTCTCTAGCATTTAGCAGTAATGTAACAGTAAGAGATAATGCCTGGACTGATTGGATAGCAGGTAGATTAATGTACTTTCAAATTCAGGTTGCTGAGCTTGGCTTTCTTTGGTGCTTCCTGAATTGATGGGACATATATTTTCATCCCACATTTTGTAAGAATGCCCAAAAGTTGGACCCAGACTGCTGGCAGCCACCAGCCTCCATAAACCACCTGATATAAGTAGAGAGAATAATTGAATAGATCTTGTTTAGGCAGTAAGTGACCAAGAACTGCTGGGTCCCAGTTGAAATGTAGTACCTCTATGTTTTGTTCTCTTTCTTCAGCTGCCAGTCTGATGCACACTTTCAATGCCCATGCTGCCACAGATATTACAGGATTTGGGATTCTGGGCCATGCACAAAACATGGCCAAACAGCAACGCAGTGAGGTGTCATTTGTCATCCATAATTTGCCCATAATTGCCAAGATGGCTGCCATCAGCAAAGCATGTGGCAACCGGTCTAAGCTCCTGCAAGGAACATCTCCGGAGACATCTGGTAAGATAGATCAGAGCTTCTTAAACATTTCTAATCATTACTCCTTTTGGCCCAAGAAATGTTTATACAGTACAGGAATATTAAATATGAATAAAAATCAAACATTAACTGATAACAAACCAGCCTTTGCAAGACTTGCTAAACAGGCTGATTTTTCTTTTTATGAAGTACAGTTGAGGCATCTTCTGCAGAGCCCACTGTAAATATTGCACAACAGATTTTTGTGAATGTCTTGAACTGCATTTAGAAGACATTTACTGTTGCCAAATTTTTCATATCCCCAACATTGAGCTAAGGGGACCCCATCTGGGGTCAGGATCCACAGTTTAAGAAGCAGTGAGATAGATAACCTAGGTCAATAATGAATGAAAATGAGGATCTACCAGTAAACGCCCTCCCTAAGGAACTAAAGATGCCCCCCCCTTGCCTTTAAGAAACAGCTGAAGACATACATCTGCTCATTGTCCTACGAGGAGGAGGAAGAATAGATAATGACAGCTATTATATCTCTGAAAAGCATCTGCAATCTGTACTTGGGTCTTTCTGCCCCACTAGCTCACTTGACATCCTGAGCAGTGATCAGTTTATATGCCCCCAAGGAACTCTGTTAACTCTGGGAAATTGATGCTTCTGTTTTTATAATAGGTTTTTAAATTTTTATTCTAAGTTACAATTCGTTTTTATATGCTGAGGAGTTTAATATTTGTGATTATGTGTCTATTAGTTGTTTTGTTTTGGTATTGAATGTTTGCCTTTTTAATGATTGGAATCCACCCTGAGTCCCTTCGGGAAGATAGGGAGGAATATAAATAAAGTTTTATTATTTTATTATTATTATAAATCTTAGTTTGATACACATTTATTAAATATTTATAACAATAACAACAGAAAATGCCTAAATTCAAATAAAATTCAGTCATAAGAAGTGGCAGAGTTTTGAGGAAGAATGGGGCTCTTTCCAGTTCCTGTACTGCTGACAAATTCTTGAGCTTTAAGCCTAATTCAATATTATCTGCATGTCTGAAGCTTGCACACTCTTAAGTAGAGTAGGGATGGATGGCGTCTAAATCTGCGTGTGGCCTTTAATGTACTCTTCTTACGTGACAGGGGGGCTGCTGATCTGTTTACCAAGGGAGCAGGCTGCCCGTTTCTGTGCTGAAATTAAGTCCCCCAAATATGGAGAAGGACATCAAGCCTGGATCATTGGCATTGTGGAAAAGGGCAACCAGACAGCGCGTATCATCGAGAAGCCTCGGATTATTGAAGTGACACCACGCGGAGCAAGTGTTTCCCCTCAAGACAACAATTCTAGTGCCAGCCCTGAAGCCGCTTCATGAAGTGGAAAAATGACTTTATTCTGTCCATTGTAGGTTCTGGTCTTCAAAAGGGGATCAACCAGAGATTCTGGATCTGGGTACTCCTGCCTTTTATAGCACAATGTCCTCCACAATGTGGTCTCTCTGTTGATTGGTGACTGTTTGTAATTTTGAAGATATTTTCTGCAAAATCGCTGGCAGTTTGATTTGAAGATGGTAACTTGAATTATTTATTGGAATAGTTCTGCCTGTTCTTAAGCTCACTCAGCTTTTGGTCAGACTGAGCAGCTGGTCCAAAAGGAGGGTGAGTGAGTTAAAAAGCCATTTGGTTGGGCCAGAGGTCTCTCCTCTTTTCATGAAGCGCCTCCCTTTAAAACCCACAGTTGTGGGTGTGGAGGAGCAGAGGAACCCTTAGAGGAGCAGTGCCAAACTCAGCTTCATGGGTTGTTCCTTGCATTGTAAATTATTTGTGATTGAGTTAATAAAAAAACCTGATTTCTACATCTAAGGAAGTGCTTTTATATTGTTTACTAGCTTGGGGGACGTGGCGGTGCCCAGGTTATTTGAGAAGGCATTGTTTGTTTTGTGAAGTGTGGTAATATCAGTTTGGTAATGTGTAATGCAAGGAAGACTCCAGCAATACATGGAGCGAGAGTTGCCAGATGTTCAAGCTGGGTTTAGAAAAGGTAGAGGAACGAGAGACCAAATTGCCAATATCCGCTGGATAATGGAGAAAGGCAGGGAGTTTCAGAAAAACATCTACTTCTGCTTCATTGACTATTCTAAAGCCTTTGACTGTGTGGATCATAATAAATTGTGGCAAGTTCTTAGTGGGATGGGCATACCAAGCCACCTTGTCTCTCTCCTGAGGAATCTGTACAAGGACCAAGTAGCAACAGTAAGAACTGACCACGGAACAACAGACTGGTTCAAGATTGGGAAAGGCGTACGGCAAGGCTGCATACTCTCACCCAACCTTTTTAACTTGTATGCAGAACACATCATGCGATGTGCGGGGCTGGATGAATGCAAAGCTGGGGTGAAAATTGCTGGAAGAAACATTAACAACCTCAGATATGCAGATGACACCACTCTGATGGCCGAAAGCGAGGAGTAGCTGAGGAGCCTTCTAATCAAGGTGAAAGAAGAAAGCGCAAAAGCCGGGTTGCAGCTAAACGTCAAAAAAACCAAGATTATGGCAACAAGAATGATTGACAACTGGAAAATAGAGGGAGAAACCGTGGAGGCCGTGACAGACTTTGTATTTCTAGTGGCAAAGATTACTGCAGATGCAGACTGTAGCCAGGAAATCAGAAGACGCTTACTTCTTGGGAGGAGAGCAATGTCCAATCTTGATAAAATAGTAAAGAGTAGAGACATCAGACTGGCAACAAAGATCCGCCTAGTCAAAGCCATGGTATTCCCTGTAGTAACCTACGGATGTGAGAGCTGGACCTTAGGGAAGGCTGAGCGAAGGAAGATAGATGCTTTTGAGCTGTGGTGTTGGAGGAAAGTTCTGAGAGTGCCTTGGACTGCGAGAAGATCCAACCAGTCCATCCTCCAGGAAATAAAGCCCGACTGCTCACTGGAGGGAACGATACTAGAGACAAAGTTGAAGTACTTTGGCCACATCATGAGGAGACAGGAAAGCCTAGAGAAAACAATTATGCTGGGGAAAGTGGAAGGCAAAAGGAAGAGGGGCCGACCAAGGGCAAGATGGATGGATGGCATCCTTGAAGTGACTGGACTGACCTTGAGGGAGCTGGGGGTGGTAACGGCCGACAGGGAGCTCTGTCGTGGGCTGGTCCATGAGGTCACGAAGAGTCGGAGACGACTGAACGAATGAACAACAATGTGTAATGCTATTAGGGGGAAAAACAATCTTTTTGTTTTTTAATTAATGCTCCCATTAGAAAATGCATAATGATGTGGGTGAACTACAATTTCCAGAATCGTGGGTCGTTGTTGTTGTTCATTCGTTCAGTCGTCTCCGACTCTTTGTGACCTCATGGACCAGCCCACGCCAGAGCTCCCTGTCGGCCGTCACCACCCCCAGCTCCTTCAAGGTCAGTCCAGTCACTTCAAGGGCTACAATTTCCAGAATCGTGGGTCAGTCATTCCCAAACCCTGCCATTACTTAAAGTTGGCCATGTTGGATCTGTGTGCCAAGTTTGGTCCAGATCTGACAGCAGCTGGGTTCAGTGATATCTAGGTAATTGTGAACCACAACTCCCAGATTCCCAGGGCAATCACCCCCAAGCTCAGCCAGTATGCACAATTGGCCATGTTGGTTCTGTGTGCCAAGTTTGGTCCAGATCCATCACTGGCTGAGTTCACTGTTCTCTGGATAAGGGTGAACTACAACTCTCAGGGTAATCACCCCTAAACTCTGTGAGTATGGACAATTGCCCATGGTGGGTCTGTGTGCCAAGTGAGTTCCAGGTCCATCATTGGTGCAGTTCAGAGTGCTCTTAGATTGCAGATGAACTATGCATCCCAGTCCCTACAACTCCTATAAATCATTGTGAATTCTCTCCAAACCTCTCCAGTATGTTCAGTTGCTGATCAGTTCCTCTGCTGTGTGCCATAAGAAAGGGTTGAAACAGATGCAAATGAAGAGAGAAAGGAACACTGGGATATGCTTGCTATAACCTACAATGTCCTTCGAGATAGTGACTTGCTGTCTTCTCAGCACTAGAAACAATAGCCTATTTGTGGAGGGTGGAGGCTGTGTGAACAGACACCTGTGCCACATACAGATTTTCATTTTTATTATGTGTATAGATACATGGGAGGTTCCTGGCATAAGGAAAGTCGCTTCTGATCTTTAATTCACTTCAGATAAAATAGACTCATACAGTGGCTCTTGATATCAAGGAAGGATTGATAACAACAAGCAGTTCCAACAGGAAACAGTTCTTTAAAAAGCTGAAGGAAAAAAACCCATGTCTTTCCCTCCCTCCCTCCCTCCCTCCTTTTTTCTATTTATTTGGTTTACCTTATCACAGCTTAGCTGAAGAAATGTTTAAGGCACTGTTAGGGCAGCCTGGGGTTTTCATCATGTGACCAGGAAGGCACATATGAGGAAAAAAGGAACTAGTAGTCTTTATGTAGAAGATTCCTCTTGCTGCCATTACAAAGAGAGCTACTGGAAGATAAATATTCACCGTTTGTTATCCAAAAGGGGTGGCCCAATCCCACTTCTCCCTGACATACCACAGATCAGACACTTAAGATTGTTTCACATAAACCAATAATAGTGCAAATCCCCTTTTCCCATGGCTATGGTAGCCAGGCCCTGAAGAAGGACAGCAGCAGGCTCAACCATTCTCATAGGATGAAAAAATTAATAGCATACATGAGCAGGAGCAAACAGTCCAGGATCTTTCCTCGAATCAACTGTCAGTAGCTGAACCACTGGTCCTGCTTAAGGCAATGCAGCAAAAGCACATCATAGACTGGTACTCTTGTCCTCCTTCATCACTGGATGCAGTCCATGACATGGATTTGTAGCGTGTCCATGTCTGGAGCTCTGTACTGGCATTTAGGACAACAGTAGTTAGGCTGCTCATCAGCAAAGCTTTGTCTTGGACCTGCCATCACCAGCCCTGGTCCGTTCCATCCCATCTGGTAATCTGGAATGACAAGGAGGGGAAGTTAAAAAGGACACACTGGATAGTTACTATGGAAGTGTACTCTGATTTTTCCTACTTCCAACAGACCTCACTACCTCTGAGGATGCTTGCTATAGGTGCAGGCGAAACGTCAGGAGAAAATGCCTCTAGAACATGGCCATATAGCCCGGAAAACCTACAACAACTCAGTGATTCCGGCCATGAAAGCCTTCGACAATACATTGTACTTTGATTTGGTAGAAAGGAAGAACCCATGTAGGGTAATTTTCAAAAAAGGGAAAAGCATTCAAAAATGTAAAGCAGTAACAGCAGTTCGGCAGATCAGAAGCTTCTAGTGTTAACAGTAGAGCGAGTGAGCTTCCTCAATACAAGCTTTCAAAAGGACCTAGCTATCTAACTAACTCACAGCAGAGGTATTGTCTCATCACACTTACAGAAGAAGAAAATGGAGGATTCAGCCTTGCCATGTGCTCAGATATTTGTATAGAAAAAGGCATGTCCTTAAGACAGTGTTTCTCAACCTGGGGGTCGGGACCCCTGGAGGGGTCGTGAGGGGGTGTCAGAGGGGTCACCAAAGACCATCTGAACACACAGTATTTTCTGTAGGTCATGGAGATTCTGTGTGGGAAATTTGGCTCAATTCTATCATTGGTGGGGTTTAGAATGCTCTTTGATTGTAGGTGAGCTATAAATCCCAGCAACTACCGAAATCTCAAGGTCTGTATTCCCCAAACTCTACCACTGTTCACATTTGGGCATATTGAGTATCTATGCCAAGTTTGGTCCAGATCCACCATTGTTTGAGTCCACAGTGCACTCTAGATGTAGGTGAACCGCAACTCCCAAACTCAAGGTCAATGCCCACCAAACCCTTCCAGTATTTTCTGTTGGTCATGGGAGTTCTGTGTGCAAGTTTGGTTCAATTCCATCGTTGGTGGAGTTCAGAATGCTCTTTGATTTGTAGGTGAACTATAAACCCCAGCAACTACAACTCCCAAATGTCAAGGTATATTTTCCTCAAACTCCACCTGTATTCACATTTCGGCATATTGAGTATTTATGCCAAGTTTGGTCTGGATGTAGGTGAACTACAACTGCAAAAGTTAAGATCAATAACCACCAAACCCTTCCAGTATTTTCTGTTGATCATGGAAAGTTCTGTGTGTCAAGATTGGTTCAATTCCATCGTTGGTGGAGTTCAGAATGTAGGTGAACTATAAATCCCAGCAACTATAACTCCCAAATGACAAAATCAATCCTCCATCCAACCCCACCAGTATTCAAATTTGGGTGTATCGGTATTTGTGCCAAATTTGGTCCAGTGAATGAAAATACATCCTACATATCAGATATTTACATTACAATTCATAACAGTAGCAAAATTGTTGTGAAGTAGCAACTAAAATAAGGTTATGGTTGGGGGGGGTCACCACAACATGAGGAACTGTATCAAGGGATCGCGGCATTAGGCCTTTTTTTTTTTTGTAGTTTCTGTTGGCACGCGTATATAGGTATGGGTGTATGCACGTATGTTTATATGTTTATATGTGGGTATGTACTCAATTATAAAACTTAATAAAAACAACAATAAAAAAAAAAAGGAAGGTTGAGAAACACTGATCTAATTGTTTAGGATGATGAAAACAAAGGAAAACTGAAGAAGAATCTCTACATTTGGAGATGACGAAGTGACAATTGATGTTGCATGTAAGTAAAGTAAGATGGTAAGACATAAAATTCTAATGGCACAAACAAATGGGCACTGAAGTAAATGTGGCCAGGGAGGAAACTACAAAGTGCCACAGATCGTAAAGAATGACAAAAGGAACTGAAAATGAAAGTACCAATACCGTAAGGCCTTTATATAAATTTCTGATGCAGTGTTTATACAGTACTGGTTACTCTCGCCTGATAAATAACCAAGGAAAGACAAGAAAAACGATTAAGGAGTTGAAGGTTCATTGCTTTCAAAAAGTCTTTGGCTCAATTTATGTTATGAAATTTATCCTATATGTATTGGTTAATTTTAATGTTGATGTATGATATTTTAGATTTTAGTGTTAGCATTGAATTTTTGCTGTCAGCCGGTCTGAGTCCCTCTACGGAGGTAGAGAAGATCGGGATATAAAAGTTTTCAAATAATAAATAAATACATCTTATATAAATAAAAATGTAATGTTCGTTTGTGGGATTAACAGAACTCAAAAACCACTGGGAGAATTGACACCAAATTTGACACAAGACACCTAACAACCCAATGTATGTCAAAAATTGATTTTGTCATTTGGGAGTTGTAGTTGCTGGGATTTATAGTTCACCTACAATCAAAGAGCATTCTGAACTCCACCAATTATGGAATTGAACCAAACGTGGCATACAGGACTCCCATGGCCAACAGAAAACACTCTGGTGGGCATTGACCTTGAGTTTGGGAGTTGTAGTTCACCTACATCCAGAGAGCACTGTGGACCCAAACAATGATGGATCTGGACCAAACTTGGCACGAATATTCCATATGCCCAAATATGAACACAGATGGAGTTTGGGGGAAATAGACATTTGGGAGTTATAGTTACTGGGATTCACAGTTCACCTACAATCAAAGAGAATTCTGAACTCTACGAACAACAGAATTGGGGCAAACTTCCTACACTGAACCCCCATGACTAACAGAAAATACTTAAGGCCATCCAGTCCAACTCCCTTCACCAGGGCAAGAAAACGTAATCAAAGCCCTCCTGACAACGAGCCATCCAGTCATAGATATAGATAGATAGATAGATAGATAGATAGATAGATAGATAGATAGGAAGCCCTAAACGGTTCTGGCCCAGCCTACTTATCCAAATACATCTCTTCCTACGAACCCTCCAGGAAGTTAAGATCATCTGAGGAGGCCCTGCTCTCGATCCCGTCTGCTTCGCAAGCATGCTTGGCGGGGACGAGAGACAGGGCCTTCTCTGTAGTGGCCCCATGGCTGTGGAACTCCCTGCCTAGGGATATTAGATCAGCCCCCTCCCTCCTGACTTTTCGGAAGAGAGTAAAAACCTGGCTCTTCGAGCAAGCATTCGGAACCCCGGAATAGTCAAGTTTGAGATGGAGAATAACCCAGGAATGGCCAAGACGATGAAACGGATGAGGATTGGAATGAGAGGATATAGCTCTTTTTAAATTGTTATTGCACTGTCTTTTTTTTTTGTCTAAATGCACTTAATTGTTTTTGCTTTTTGAATGTATGTATTGATGGCATCGAATTGTGCCGATATGTAGACCGCCCTGAGTCGCCTCCGGGCTGATATGGGCGGGATAGAAATAATGTAAATAAATAAATAAATAATTCACACACAGAGATATAGTATCATAGATTTGAAAGGGACCCCTAAAGAAGGACAATTATATGTTGCATGTTCCAGAGTAGGCAAACCAGACAATCTCCACATCAACACTGACAAAGAAACAGCAAGAAATATTGTTTACCCACAAGCAGAAAGATATTACATATACTGTATTAGAAACCAACACTTTCTCATTACTCACCAGACTGGGCCACAGCAACGCGTGGCAGGGGACGGCTAGTAAATAAATAAATAAAGCAGTTTTTGCTGAAGAGCAGCAAAATGTCTTAAGGTTCATCTGGGGTATTGTTACGAGTTAGGGTAAGAACTGCTTTTAAAAAAATCTACAGGGGATTTCTAATGCTACTTTAGCCAGGAACAAGGGAACATAGATCTGCTATCTATGTCCTGTCTTGACTTGCTTGAGAAATTTTGGTACCACAAAAACTTGCCACCAATTTTTGTTCAACCCAGAGATGGAAATTTTTACCTACAAGGAAGGGGTAAAGCTTTTGAAGCTTCTTGGGTGCAGAAAGGGAGTAAGCATAGTAAAGAAGTTTGAACATTGAATTACAACTCTGGAGACGCATTCTTGCTTGGAAATGAAACATCACATTCTTGCTTGGAAATGAAACATCCACTGGATTCATTTCTGAACAGCTGAACATGTGAGGCTCATGCCTTGGGTGAGCCACACATTCTCTGGAGACCAGGGTTCACGTTCTTGCTTGGAAATGAAACATCCACTGGATTCATTTCTGAACAGTTGAACATGTGAGGCTCAAGCCTTGGGTGAGCCACACATTCTCAGCCTCAAGAGGAGCACCAAGAATAAAGAAAACCTTCCAAAGAAAACCCTGTGATTGAGCTTCAGGGGCACTATAAACTTGAATGCACACAACAACAGGTGGATGAAGGTTCAAAGATTCAACTACTGCAGTTACCTGGCAACTGAGGAGGTGGACGCATGTCGGAATGGCGATTCCTCATCTCTTCCATAAGAGCCCTATTTGGTTAGGAAAGAAACGCAAATCAGTTCCAATACTAACCTCTTCTGTGATATGTGATAACCTTGTTGCTTTGGATTTCCACTTTGGCTCTTGTGCTAATGATTACATCTAAGGGCCAAATGATATTTTGCAAATAAAAATAAGAAAGCTGTAGATTCTATTTAAACCTTATCCAAAACCGAATGAGAAAGCATCAATATTGCAATTGAGCTGGACAAATGGCTGGACCTTAAATTGTGTCCGTGTTCCTTTCGGTCTACTCACCGGCTGGCCCCCTCGGAGTCTGCTTTCAGTTTCTCATAATCTCTTTGCAATTGGGCAAGTTGCTCCACCAGGGCCTCTCGCTGCTCATGTAGCTTTTCACGAGCCTGACGCTCGGCCAGGAAATCTGTCTTATAAATATCGGCCTGAAGAGAGAAGATGAGATGGCAGTTCCATTTATTTTATTATTATTTTTCGTGTCATCAGCAACCATACCATTGTATTACATTTCTAACAGAACAAAACAAACAAACAAACAGATACAAAAGCACAAATTTTGCAAATTTGGTAGTTGATTAAATGTCCTTTGACCAGCATCTGGCCACTTGGAGTGCCTCTGGTGTTGCCGTAAGAAGGTCCTCCATTGTTCATGTAGCAGGGCTCAAGTTGCATTGAAGCAGGTGGTCAGTGGTTTGCTCTTCTCCACACTCGCATGTCGTGGATTCCACTTTGTAGCCCCATTTCTTAAGATTGGCTCTGCATCTCGTGGTGCCAGAGCGCAGTCTGTTCAGCGCCTTCCAAGTTGCCCAGTCTTCTGTGTGCCCAGGGGGGAGTCTCTCATTTGGTATCACCCACGGATTGAGGTGCTGGGTTTGAGCCTGCCACTTTTGGACTCTCGCTTGCTGAGGTGTTCCAGCGAATGTCTCTGTAGATCTTAGAAAACTATTTCTGATTTAAGTCGTTGACGTGCTGGCTGATACCCAAACAAGGGATGAGCTGGAGATGTCTCTGCCTTGGTCCTTTCACTATTGGCTGCTACTTCCCGGCGGATGTCAGGTGGTGCAATACCGGCTAAGCAGTGTAATTTCTCCAGTGGTGTAGGGCGCAGACACCCCGTGATAATGCGGCATGTCTCATTAAGAGCCACATCCACTGTTTTAGTGGTGAGATGTGTTCCACACTGGGCATGCATACTCAGCAGCAGAGTAGCATAGCACAAGAGCAGATGTCTTCACTGTGTCTGGTTGTGATCCCCAGGTTGTGCCAGTCAGCTTTCGTATGATATTGTTTCTAGCACCCACTTTTTGCTTGATATTCAGGCAGTGCTTCTTGTAGGTCAGAGCACGGTCCAGAGTGACTCCCAGGTATTTGGGTGTGCTGCAATGCTCCAGTGGGATTCCTTCCCAGGTAATCCTCAGAGCTCGGGATGCTTGTCTGTTCTTAAGGTGAAAGGCACATGTCTGTGTTTTAGATGGATTAGGGATCAGTTGGTTTTCCCTGTAATAGGCAGTAAGAGCACCTAGAGCTTCGGAGAGCTTCTGTTCAACCATCTCAAAGCTCCCTGCTTGAGCGGTGATGGCACGATCATCAGCATAGATGAAACTCTCTGTCCCTTCTGGCAGTGGCTGGTCATTTGTGTTGAACATGGATGGAGCAAGCACGCTCCCCTGAGGCAGGCCGTTCTTCTGTTTCCGCCATCTGCTTCTCTGGCCCTGGAACTCAACAAAAAAGCTCCTGTTTTGTAGCAGGTTTCCTATGAGGCGGGTGAGGTTGTAGTCCTTTGTGATATTATACATTTTTCTCAGGAGGAGGCGGTGGTTCACAGTATCATAGGCTGCTGACAGGTCTATGAAGACAGCTCCTGTGATCTGCTGCCTTTCAAAGCCATCTTCTATGTGCTGAATCAGGTTCAGCACTTGCGATGTGCAGCTTTTAGCCTTTCCTGAAGCCAGGCAGTTCCATTGACTCTTTAAGTTCTATGGAGGCACCCTAAATCCTCTTCTACAATGGCTACTATGCTCAGGTACAAGCACTCCCTACTCACTTGTGCTTTGAGGACAGGCACCGTTTCCATGATGGCTTTGTGTTGTTCAGCCTCTTCTTTCAGCTTGTCAATCAGTTCCTGCTTGGCCACCAGTGCCTCTTCAGCCTCTTGAAGTTGCTGAGACAGTTCAGCGATCTGCAGATCCAAGCCCTATGGAGGGGGACAGGAAGACAGTGGTCACAGAGAAGAGACGTGAGACACAATAGGCAAAAACACTCATCCCAAAGACAGACAGAAAAGGATATGGGTTCTCCCACCCTCCAGAAAGGTTTTACATTACTAGTTTCTCTCACCTTGCTCCGTTTCTCACTGTCCAGGCTGGTTTTGATATGAGCATCATATTCCCGGAAGAGCTCGTGATAGGCCACTTGCAGCTGGGCTAGTTTTCTCCTATACAGGGAGAGGGGAACCATTCAAGGGATGCATTTTTGTCTTGAGTTCAGCCCTTGCTCCACCCTTTACCAGACATACCCCCTTTTCCTGGGTTTGGCTTCTCCCAACCCTGAGATGCAGAGACCCACGAGATGCAGAGCCAACCTTAAGAAATGGGGCTACAAAGTGGAATCCACGACATGCGAGTGTGGAGAAAAGCAAACCACAGACCACCTACTGCAATATAACCTGAGCCCTGCCACATGCCCAATGGAGGACCTTCTTGCAGCAACACCAGAAGCACTCCAAGTGGCAAGATACTTGTCAAAGGATATTTAATAGAATACCAAGTCTGCAAACTTTGTGTTTTGTTTGTTTGTTTTAATGCAATACAACTATTTTGGATCGCCCCTGACACGAAAATAAATAAATAATCCAAATACATTTTGAATGCCCTGTACTTCCTTATATACTTTTATAGTAATAATCTCTATTTAAGTTCTCCTCTAAGTTGAGGTTGCCCTGATTTTTCCAAATTCTGTAACAAGGCTATTCAGAAATATTTAAAACATAAGAGGAACCAAGCTGGCCTATACTGAAAGACAATCTCCTTGTTCTGAGAGAAGCAAGATCCCCTTCCACATGCTTTTATTGTTTCATTATATACATGTATTAATCTTTGTTGTAATATAGATTTCAACTCTGAATTTTTAGTGCTATCTGTGTTTAATCCTGTTTTACTGTTTGTATATTTGTATATTTTAAATTAGACACTAATGGTTTTATGTCAAGCCGCTTTGAGTTTTCTTTGGGGAGATAAAGCAGGGTATAAATAATAATAATAATAAAAATAATAATAATACTCATCTGGATTTAGCAGAGATGGCTCAAGACCTTGTACGACTACAACTCTCAGGATCTCAAAGCATTGAACCACAACATGCTTTAGCAGATAAGCAAAAAAAAAATAAATAAATTGTAAAACTACAACTCCCATGATTGCATCGCATGCAGCCATGCGAGTTCACTTGGTGTCAATTTCTATTAGTTCTACAGTGCAGAAGCACGCCCCAAGTTCAAATTCCCATGTTATTTGCTTCCACCTGTGTGCGGTTTTTGTGTGTGTAGGTATGCCCTGAAGTCACCTGTCAAGATAGGGCATCCTCCTTAATCTATTTATCTGTTTAACTATCTATCCATCCATCTAAAGAAAGTGAATGTATGTATGTGGGTGGCAGAGACCACAGTGACCCCCACCAATGACAGTCTGGACCAAACTCGGGGCACAGAACCCCCATGAGCTCCTGGCATGTGATTGATATATATATATATATATATATATATATATATATATATATATAAAAATGCCCTGTGCATAATGAGTACCTTAAAAACGAAAGAACCAAAGAATGAAATCACACCAAATTTGGCAACAAAATGTCACACAATACAAGGAGTGACCATCACTCAAAAATTATGATTTTGTCATTTGGGAGTTGTAGTTGCTGGGATTTATAGTTCACCTACAATAAAAGAGCATTCTGAACTCCACCAATGATGCAATTGAAGCAAACTTGGCACACAGGACTCCCACAACCAACAGAAAATACTGGAAGGGTTTGGTGTGCACTGACCTTATGTTTTGGAGTTGTAGTTCACCTACATCTAGAGAGCACTGTGGACTCAAACAATGATGGATCTGGACCAAACTTGGCACAAATACTTAATATGTCCAAATATAAACATAGATGTAGTTTGGGGGAAATAGACCTTGACATTTGGGAGTTGTAGTTACTGGGATTTATAGTTCCTTTACAATCAAGGAACATTCTGAACCCCACCAACGACAGAATTAGGGCAAACTTCCCACAGAACCCTCATGACCAACAGAAAATACTGTGTTTTCTGGTGGTCTTTGGTGACCCTTCTGACACCCCCCTGGTGACTCCCCCTTCCCGGGTCTTGACTTTCCAGGTTCAGAAATGCTGCTTTGAGCCCATCCAGTCCAACTCCCTTCACCAGGGCAAGAAAACAACCAAAGCCCTCCCGACAAAGGGCCATAAAGCCATTCACATACACACATATATGTATATGACAGATGCAGTATCAAAGATTTGAAAGGGACCCCTAAAGAAGGACAATTTGCATGTTGCATGTTCCAGAGAAGGCAAACCAGAAAATCTCCACATCAACACTGGCAAAGAAACAGCAAGAAATACTGTTTTCCCCCAAAGCATCAAGACATTACATATATTAGAAACCAGCTCTTTCTCATTACTTTATTTTCCAGATCCCCAGACTGGGCCACAGCAACACGTGGCAGGGGACCGCTAATAAATAAATAAACCCTGAACTCACTTTTCCTCTGAGGCACTCTGCCGTTCCACTCGCAGGGCACTTTCTAGGTTTTGCACCTGCAGCCGCAACTGATCCACCTGCACACTGTGCTGTTTGGCGCGAGCATCCGCCTCCCTTTCGAACTGATGGAGTTGTTCAGCTGTTCCCCGGATCCTGTAACAACACGGCACAAAATACAAAGCTATCTTTTAAAGCTGTTAACCAAGATCCTAGAGCAGAGGGAGCCTGCCCCATCCTTTCACTTCAAAAAGCATATACCATGACAGCATTAGCTCTAGCATTATTTGCTTCAATACATTTTCGGAGCAGCTCCCTGAATCTTCCTCACTGGAACCCTCAGCGCCCTCCTCATCATCTGCGACTTCACATGGAAAGTGGGCCATTCTTGTAGACGTTCGAGCAACGGGGAGGTGCTCCGAGCTTCCCGTCATGGATACTTGCGCTCCTGAAGAAGCACCCTGCCTACCACTTCAGCAGCGCAAGTGGCTGGTGTGTAATCAGCGAGGGAACATCTCCAGCTCCTCAGCATTTTCGGTCATTTTTTCTGTGATCGCATGGGTTGCCTGAGAACTGGGAGGAATAGCTGTGCTTCCTCCACTGGTTTAGGGTTTGTCCCAGTTGCCACCTATCCCAAGACTGCGATAAGCCCTGTTTCTGACATTCCGAACAGCCACAGATGCGAAAGGGCTATTGTTCGAGCAATTTGTAATTCAGTTCCAGGGCACGTTTACGCCTGAGTTGTACATGGATCTGAAGCCAGGGTGCCTGAAGAGCAAAGGCCAGGCATGCAGCCTCTCATCCCTACAGCAATCCCAGCTCATTGTTCCATAATGTCTGCATCACTGCTGGCAAACAGGACTTCCCTCCAACCACGTGTCCCAACACAACCAAGCCACACTTACGTTTGGTAGGCCACTCACCTCTCCTCTAGCTCTTTTTTTTCCTTCGTGGATGTTTCCAAGCGGGTTTGGCTTTCTAGCAGCTCCCCCAGCAGGGAGGTCACCTGAGCCTTGACTGAGGCTCTGTCCTCCCCAAATTGCTGTAATGGAAAAGGAAAGGAAGACTCATGGTATACAAACAAGTAATAATAATAATAATAAAACTTTATTTGTACCCCGCTACCATCTCCCCAAGGGACTCGGTGCAGCTTACATGAGGTCGAGCCCACAATACAACAATAAAAACAAGAGCAACAGTAATACAAAACAATAAATAAACTCATAAACAAAAAATAAGCAATAAACATTAACAATAAAACAACGGCGTTTAAAAACCTATGGCCGGGCCAAATGTACTAATTAAAATTTTAAAATAATGTTGGGCATGACCAGGTGACCTATAACTAGGATAGAAATTTTGGAGAGGGATGAAATCTGCAGACAATCCTAGATCACTAATAAAGTGCTGGGAGTTTCCTTATTCTGGGAAGGCACACTGGAACAACCATGTTTTCAGGCTCCTCCTAAAGACTGCCAGAGTTGGGACATGCCTAATGTCCTTGGGGAGTGAGTTCCAAAGTCGAGGGGCCACCACCTAGAAGGCCCTCTCCCTCGTCCCCACCAATCGCGCATGCGATGGAGGTGGGAGCGCGAGCAGGGCCTCTCCAGATGATCGAAGAGATCGTGTGGGTTCGTACACAGAGATGCAGTCACGCAGGTAGGCGGGTCCCAAACCAATTAGGGCCTCCTTTACCCTTTTTCTCCCCAGTTTGTATCTCATATAGCAGTTTTTCTCAACCTTCCTAATGCCATGACCCCTTAATACAGTTCCTCATGCTGCGGTGACCCCAACCATAAAATGATTTTTGTTGCTACTTCCTAACTGTAATTTTGCTACTCTTACGAACTGTAATGTAAATATTTGATATGCAGGATGCTCTTTCATTCACTGGACCAAATTTGGCACAAATACCCAATACGCCCAAATTTGAATACTGGTGGGTTTGGGGGTGGGGGATTGATTTTGTCATTTGGGAGTTGTAGTTGCTGGGATTTATAGTTCACCTACAATCAAAGAGCATTCTGAACTCCACCAATGATGGAATTGAACCAAACTTCACACACAGAACTCCCATGACCAACAGAAAATACTGGAAGGGTTTGGTGGGCATTGACCTTGAATTTTGGAGTTGTAGTTCACTTACATCCAGAGAGCACTGTGGACTCAAACAATGATGGATCTGGACCAAACTTGGCACAAATACTCAATATGCCCAAATGTGAACCCTGGTGGAATTTTGGGGAAATAGAGCTTGATATTTGGGAATTGCAGTTGCTGGGATTTATAGTTCATCCACAATCAAAGAGCATTCTGAAACCCACCAATGATAGAATTGGGCCAAACTTCCCACAGAGAACCCAGGACCAACAGAAAATACTGCGCTTTCTGATGGCCTTTGGTGACCCCTCTGACATCCCCTCGTGACCCCTCCAGGGGTCCCGACCCCCAGGTTGAGAAACGCTGTCATATAGGAATATGGGTGCTTACTCACCTCCAACTGTTTGTTTAATGTTTGCAGCTGCTGCTGGGTCTCTTGCTCTTGGGATGCCATACGGGCCAACTCCGCTTGGGCTAATTTCAACTGTTGATGAAGCGATACATTCCTGGAAAAGCGTGGGGGGGGGGGGCGCGAGATTGGAATGATAAGTAGCAAACACATTCCTTCTGGCCTTCACAAACCAGCAGTTCTGTTCTAGATAGTGTGTTCAAACTTGTCGTTTTATGAAAACATAGCCTGCTCTCTTTCAAAAGTTCTCGAGGCAGCTTCAAATAAAATCAATTTAGAATACATTATTTCAGAGAATGAAATATATCAAATCATTCATCAGTTAAAAATGAAACAAAACCAATGAAAACAATTTTAGAAGTGCCAACCATACCACATGTGCATCCTGGATAAAATCAATTATGCCCAAAGGCTTAAAACATCAAGTTCTGACTTGACACTGAAATGATATCAATGTTGGCACCAGTTATCTCCACTCTGAGGCCATATTCAAGGTGGAGTGCCATGACAGGGCATGTATCCAAGATTTATAATAATAATAAAATAATAATTTGAAACACAACAAGATGAGTCCACAGCAGTCACTCTGCTGGCTGTTGTATTGGATCACACATCGGACACTTTCCAAGTGTTTAGGACTGTGTGATGTATCGGCGAATAATGTGTGCAGATCCCAGTAAGGTGGCCTTCTGCAGCTGGCAGATGGTAATCTTGTCAGCGCAGATTGTGTCTTGTCAGCGCAGATTGAAGGTCTTTAGGCACTGCACCCAGTGTGCCGATCACCCCTCAGACCACTTTGACTGGCTTGTGCCAATTTCTTTTATTATTATCATCATCATCATCATCATCATCATCATCATCATCATCATCATCATCATCATCATCATTTTATTATTTTTATTATTATCAAAGAAGAAGAAAAAACGTTCATGTATAAAACTGATGTCCAAGAGAACCAAGCCTTTTTGGTGAAGAGGAAAAATTGCATCACAAACGTACTACTGCAATGAGAGGTAAGTCTAAGAACTACTATTGTTTTCCTTACACCAACCAGCACCCACTTGTATCAAATGACAGCTTGCCTGTTCTGAATATTATAATTACCAGATATCACACTCCCTCCCTTGGGGATTTCCTCCTCCTCAAACCATGGCAGTGTCCTTCTGCAGTCGAGATTATCCTGGAGGGATTATTCTTCCCGAATGCTCCAAGGTCTGCACTACACAAACGCAATTCATCGCTGACCTAATTCAGTGAAAAGAGACTCCCGCAGTTCTGGTCTGGCCCCTTTTACTGCCAACAGGGAACTCCCAATGTGTGAACCTTTCTTATCTCTGGACTTATGGACCTTTCCATTTTCAAAGAGCCTTTAGAATCATAGAATCAAAGAGTTGGAAGAGACCTCATGGGCCATCCAGTCCAACCCCATTCTGCCAAGAAGCAGGAATATTGCATTTAATTCACCCCGATAGCTGGCCATCCAGCCTCTGTTTAAAAGCTTCGAAAGAAGGAGCCTCCACCACACTCCGGGCAGAGAGTTCCACTGCTGAACGGCTCTCACAGTCAGGAAGTTCTTCCTCATGTTCAGTTGGAATCTCCTCTCTTGTAGTTTGAAGCCACTGTTTCACGTCCTAGTCTCCAGGGAAGCAGAAAACAAGCTTGCTGGGGTTGGATGTCCTTTAATCCCTCATCCACTCCATCTTGCTGAGGTTGAAGATGACTTTCTTTTTGTGAGAAGACCGAAGCAAAGAAGGCATTAAGTAGTTCTGCCTTTTCCCTACCCCGTCAGCATTGCCCCATCTTCTCCTCGAAGAGGCCCTATCGCCTCCTTGTTTTTCCTTTTTCTACTGACATAAGAAAAGAAGCCCTTTTTGTTGTTTTTAATGTCCCTGGCAAGCCTGAGCTCGTTTTGTGCTTTAGCCTTGTGGACCTTTTCCCTACAGGTGTTGGCTATTTGTTTGAATTCTTCTTTGGTGATTTCTCCCTTTTTCCACTTCTTATGCATCTCTTTTGTGTCTTAGCACAGTTAGAAGTTCTTTGGACATCAATTCTGTCTTCTTTGCACTTGTCCTATTTTTTCTCTTTATTGGGACAGTTTGCAATTGTGCCTTGAGTATTTCACTCTTGAGAAATTCCCATCCATCCATAACTCCCTTGTCTTTTAGTATCTGTTTCCACGGAATTCTGCTCAGTGTTTCCTTCATTTTTCGGAAATCAGCTCTCCTAAAGTCCAAAATGCAGGTTTGACTTATCTTAGTTTCGGCCTTCCTTTGTACCTTAAATTGCAGGAGCACATGGTCACTTGCTCCTAAGGATCGGACCACTTCAACCTCTAATTGAAAGCATCCCATTTGCCAGAACTGGCAACCTTCCACTCAAAATATATTCCTATCTAAAAGTTAGGCCCTCCTGAGAAAGTACTGGCATATTGTCATAAACTTACTCATCTTCTGCTTCCTTCAACTTCTTGGACAGCTGCTCAGCTTGGTCCCCACCAGAACTTTTTCTGTGAAACAGGATGATGGTTACTTTACAAAACAAGCCACACTATCTCATTTGGAGCATATGCTTTCTGAAAATTGTGAGCACTTCTTACGACAACACTGATCACACAAGACTTAGCTTTGACACTTCCCAAGTGGAGTGCCTCAGGAGGCACATTAGTTTTGAGCAAAACAGAAGTGTGAAAACCTAGGCTTGCATGGGGGGAGGAGCTAACAGCTTCAGAAGTGACAAAAATGGTGGCTCAGGGACTGAAATGACCATAACAGAATTCTGATTCTGGATATATCTGCAATGATAAGCAGAGTACCAGGGAATATAAATGCAAGTGAACAGGTATGCATCTTAATAAATACAATTATTAATAAATACAATTATTAATAAATAAAGACAAGTTCCATCTTGTCGCCTGCATATGCCATCAGCTGGAGACCCCTCCCCCCGGCACCAATTGCCGCTCTGGGCCAGAGTGAAGAGAGGGGGGGGGGGGCAGGGGAATATATATACATTTAATATTTATATTATAATGTAATGCAATATACTACTACTACTACTAATAATAATAATATATTATTATTATTATATATTTATATTACATGTAATATAATTGGTATAGTACAATATAGCAATGTTTAATGCTGATATTGTACTATGCTAATAGTATAGTGTATTATATGTATATATACTTTGTAAGCCGCTCTTGAGTCCCCTTCAGGGTGAGAAGGGCGGCATATAAATGTCGTAAATAAATAAATAAATAATAAATGCTGACTTTCTAGGTCTGAATAGATGATTGACATATTTTACCCTACTGGTGAGTCTAACACATCCATCACAGATGTGTGCCAAGTATCACTATAACAGGATGGAAAAAGATAACCTTCCAAATACTGGTTCCATCAGCAACCTAGCCAATAGTAATAATTACTAGGCTTGGCCAACCCATGGTTCTAAAGTACTTACAAAACTAAAGTTCTGGTGGTGAAAATTTCAGAACTCTAACAAAACTCTCAAAATTTCATAATAAATGGCAGTTCCTAATTGGTTCTGTCATTAAAATCACCAATAATGAAATAATAATTAAATTTTGAAAGTTTTGTTAGAGTTCTGAAATTTTCACCACCAGAACTTTAGTTTTGTATTTTAGAACCATTTAGAACCATGGATTGCCCAAGCCTAATAATTACTCAGAGTTGACATTCAGAAGCAACTCCTATTCCTGCCTTACAAAACTAAAATGCAAGAATCATAGATTAAACTCTTTATTTAAACAAAACCATCAATTCAAAATCATTGGAAGAAATTCCCTATGTCCTCCAAACATTTTAATTATTGACGAGGGTTGCCAGGTGCAAGGCCTTTTCTATAATGGCATGCTACCTGAGAGACATTCTCTCTAGCAATGCTTGTCTGGTGACAAGCAAAGCTTTGAGGTTATTTTTCTATTACGGATTTGTTACATTTCTAGTAATTAATGGAAGCCATTCTGATAACTGGACTTTTTTTTGTGTCAGGAGCAACTTGAGAAACTGCAAGTTGCTTCTGGTGTGAGAGAATTGGCCGCCTGCAAGGATACTGTCCAGGGGATGCCCTGATGTTTTACCATCCTGGTGGGAGGCTTCTCTCATGTCCCTGCATGGGGAGCTGGAGCTGACAGAGGGAGCTCATCCGCACTCTCCCCAGATTCGAACCTCCGATCTGTTGGTCTTCAGTCCTGGCCATACTTGTGTGGAAGTATGGGTTAAACCCTTCAGAACAAGGGTTTAAACCATGGCACCACCAGGGGCTCAAAACTAGAGAGTGCAGTTAAAGCATTATCATCGTTATGGAATAAGATTCACATGGAGGGCCAATCCCTCTGTTTCTCTTACCTGTCCCCTGATCCCTGCAGGGATTCCAGCTCCAGGGGCCGTTCTGCTTGAAGCCCATTCTCCTAGGAAGGGGGCCAGAGGATATCATGAGCTCAACCATGAGATGTTCCCCACATCTCTCTTCCAAACTGCATGTAACTTGCCTCCCTAGTCTGCCCTTGACATCTTCTTTCACTTTCCCCACTCACTTTAAGCTTTATGCCACGTACTTCTACAGGCAATGTGGTTTTTGCGGCTTGTTGCAATGCAGAGATCTCAGCTTGCAAGGTCAGCTTCTCTTTCTGCAAAGCTTGGTTGGCGTCCCGGAGCACCTTTAGCTCTTCCTCCAGCTGCCCCCTGTTTTGCTGTGTCGATTCAGGGACCTAGGAAAAGGGAGAAGAAAAGAGTTTGCACCTGGAAATTAGAACAATATTGGGGTCACAATACACAATATAACCCTCCACTGCAGCCCACAGGGTAAGAGCACACATCTGATACTTGTGGCAGATGACAGGGTGAGACAATAGTGCGATATACAGATAGGCGAACCATCTCTTCAAGACAAATTCCAGCTATGTTCCTAGATCATATGATTTCAAGCTGGTGCCCTCCAGATGAACCATCTTTCACTACCTCCCATCTTCCACACAAGTATGACCAGTTACTGGCAAGGGGTAGTAGGAATTACTGCCATGTTGGATAAGGCTGATTTAGATGACAACACATAATAATAATAATAATAATAATAATAATAATGATGATGATGATATTGATAATAAAGCCAGAATTGAAAAGTCGATGACAGATCCCAAGGAAGCAGATGAAACAATACATCACACCCTCAGCTGCTGCAAGAAGATCGCGCAGACAGACTACAAGCAGAGGCACAACACCGTTGCTCAGATGATTCATTGGAACTTGTGCCACAAATACCATCTGCCTGCAACAAAGAACTGGTGGGATCACAAGCCAGAAAAAGTTACAGAAAATGAACACATCAAACTGCTCTGGGACTTCCGAATTCAGACAGACAGAATTCTGGAACACAATACTCCTGTTTTCCAGAACAAAGTATGAATCGTTGATGTTGCAATCCCAGGTGACAGCAGGATTGAAGAGAAACAACTGGAAATGCTGACACGATATGAGGATTTAAAGATCGAACTGCAAAGAATCTGGTACAAGCCAGTCAAAGTGATCAGCACACTGGGTGCAGTGCCTAAAGACCTTGGCCTGCACTTAAACACAATGCACTGACAAAATTACCATCTGCCAGCTGCAAAATAATCTGCATGCATTATTCGCCAATACATCACACAGTCCTAGACACTTGGGAAGTGTCCGATGTGTGATCCAATACAACAGCCAGCATAGTGATCTTGTTTGCTGTGGACTCATCTTGTTGTGTTTCTAATAATAATAATAATAATAATAATAATAATAATAATAATATTATTATTATTATTATTATTATTATTATTATTATTATTCTGCCCTATCTCCCTGGGGGGGCACTCAGGATGGATTCTAATCACAAAAAAGGCAAAGATTCAATGCCTCACATTTCTCCTTACCAGTGCAAATATGTTCTCTTCTTGAGTAAGGGTTACAGTGTCTTGGTCCTCTTGTGCTACAGAGGCCTCTTTCTCTGAGGGAGATGGATGAGAAGCTGCCTGTAGGTGGGAAAGAAAAAATTCCAGCCTACATATATGTTGGAATTAGGTATAGGAGATCACCAGGGAGAGAGGGAGGGAAAAAGAAAGAACAATCATTTAATCTTACAGTTGGAAACGGGTGCAAGGGCCATGTTCATTATTTCCAAAATCTTATGCTGCCATTCTTCTTTTTTGGGTGTCTTTTGGCCTCCAGTGTTTTGCAAATACCTGCCGTAGTCAGGTAATTAAACAGTATCTCCTTATTTTTATCTTCTTCGAAGTTTAGCATCTCTAAAAGAAAATATTCTGGTTCCCTTTGAATTTGTATTTTTAAAATCTTTTGTATATCTTCATGAATTATAATCTAGAACTCTTTCACTTTTGGACACGTCCACCAGGCATGGAAGAAGGTGCCTGTTTGATGTTCGCATTTCCAACACTTATCTGATGCGTCTTTCTAACATTTTGAAATTTTTGGAGTGTTAAATACCACTTGTGTATCATTTTAAGTAGGTTTTCTTTAAGGTCGTAAGAATAGGTGTATGACATACTGGCTATCCACAAACCAAGGGACCCCAAAGAAATACACAAACTGGGACTCCGGTAAAAGACTATTTCAAGCAACGGAAAATAGAAATTATCATCTAAAAAGAGTAAATCACAAATAAGGAAGAAAAAGAAGGGAAGCAGATAAGTTCTGAAAAACGGAAAAAAGAGACTTTAAAGACCACCAAAGTTTAGATCAGGCATCCTCAAACTGCGGACCTCCAGCTGTTTGGGCCTCCAACTCCCAGAAGCCCTAACGAGCTTGTTCAATTGTCAGGAATTCTGGGAGTTGAAGGCCAAAACAGCTGGAGGGCCGCAGTTTGAGGATGCATGGTCTAGATGGAAGTCAACAATACTATATATATATAAATGCTCAGTGCATAATAAGTACCTTAAAAACAAAAGAACCAATGAACAAAATCACAGCAAATTTGGCAACAAAATGTTGCACTACACAACGGGTGACCATCACTCAAAAAATTATGACTTTGTCATTTGGGAGTTGTAGTTGCTGGGATTTATAGCTCACCTATAATCAAAGAGCATTCTGAACTCCAATGATGGAATTGAACCAAACTTGGCACACAGGACTCCCATGACCAACAGAAAATAACGAAAAGGTTTGGTGGGCATTGACCTTGAATTATGGAATTGTAGTTCACCTACATCTAGAGAGCACTGAGGACTCAAACAATGATGGATCTGGACCAAACTTGGCACAAAGACTCAATATGCCCAAATATAAATACAGGTGGAGTTTGAGGGAAATAGACGTTGACATTTGGGAGTTGTAGTTACTGGGATTTATAGCTCACCTACAATCAAAGAGCTTTCTGAACCCACTAACAACAGAATTGGGACAAACCTCACACACAGAACCCCCATGACCAACAGAAAATACTTAAGGCCATCCAGTCCAACTCCCTTTAGTACGGCAAGAAAATTAATCAAAGCCCTCCTGACAAAGAGCCATCCAGCCATAGATACAGAGAGAGATATATGACTCACACACACACAGATATAGTGTCATAGATTTGAAAGGGATCTCTAAACAAGGACAATTCTATGTTGCATGCTCCAGAGTAGGCCAACCAGACAATCTCTACATCAAAACAAGCATAAAGAAATTACATATATTAGATACCAACACTTTCTCATTACTTTATTTTCCAGATCACCAGACTGGGCCACAGCAATGCGTGGCCACAAACAGCTAGCACTATATATTTTTCTCTGAAATATTTCTTTTTTTCTTTTTCTCTTTTTCCTCAACTATATTTTCTCTATTTCTTATATATATAATTTTTTTTCTTTTTGCTTTCTTTCTATATACTTCAACCTTAATGTTCCTACTTTCCTATCCAAACCAAATATGTTCTCCCACTTTCAATGTTATCCTTTTTTGTTTTTTTCTAATCTTCCTAATAAAAACATTTTTTTAAAAAGGAAACGGGTGCAAGGGCTATTTAGTCCAACCTCTTAGGGAAGGCAGTTCTCTAGGCAACACCACTAAACACCTCTAAACAAAAACATGGGAAGGGAAAGTGCAAGAAGACTCCACCCGGTGGCTTTGTCCCTCTTGGTTACCAGTTGCCTCTTCAGTTGCTCCAGCTCTTGGACAGTCTTCTCCAGCTGCTTTTTCAGACCTGTTCGTTCTAACTGTAAATTTTCCACCAGCAGCCGAGCCTCTTGGAACTTGCAAAAGAGGAATTCCTTCTCCTGCTTGTGGGAAGCCTGGAACTGCAGAAACTCTCGGTAACGCTCCCGCAGCATATGGTTACTTCGTCGGATGGCTTCTGCACAAAGAACAGAGATAGCGATGTTGGCCCTTTCTTTCCCATGGGTGACATAATCATTACATCCTGCCTACTTATGGAACGGAATGAACAGGCAGAAGGAGAAAGCAACAAGATTTCACCTCTCTTTCAAAATCTCCTTTTACTCCATAGTAAAACTCTACTGTCCCACTTTGAGAATCCAGTGCTAGTGGAACAAATAACACTGCCCAACACACAAAATATTTTTTTTTCTTGCTGTCTTGGCTTTTAGGCCTGCTCTTGAATTATTTGGGATGCTGATTCATAAAATTACATCATTTCTAATTTCTTATATATGATTATCAGGATTTTCTATGGATGAGCATATGGCAACTGGCAGATGGCATATCTTCTGTATCTCAATAACTAGAGCTGAGAGGAGGAAATTGTTGTCATTTTCAGAATCAGTAGTTATGACTTATTTTCCCATTTCTACCAGAGATACCATTAAATTATGCCATTGTACATAACAGGACTTGAGCATCCATAGATTCTGCTACTCTTGTAGGGTCCTGCAACCAAACTCCAGTGGACACTAAGGACCTACTGTATTAATTACTTCACTTCTGAAATTTTCAGGTGAAAGTTCTGCTGTGAATTGGCATTTGCCATTTCCCCAGTTTGTGCTTACACTGCAGACATTAATTTTAACTACGGCTACAAAAATGCCTTCTTTCCTGCTGAATTTTAGTATGGATTATCTCACCTCAAAAGCTCAGAATAACAAAAATCCAGTTATTTATATCCAAGCCACATTTGTTTTAGACACATCTAAAGAATCTATATAGGCGAGTGAGTGTGCTTACAGGAAGAATGCTAGAAATGCTAGTGGAGTACATCCTTCTTCACCATATCCAACTCAAGAAATGCAGCAAACCGTTGGAAGAGAGAAGGGGATTCCCTGGTTTATACCTTTAACTCCCTGCAGATTAATTGTGGATTTATTTCGCAGGGCTTCTGGAAACAGAGGGTCAAGTAGGATTATCTTAGAAATCTCTGCTACATAGAAAAGTGAGTCATAAAACAGCATGCATAAGACCCTACTAGAATGAAAATCCCTCTGAGCAAGTAATACCATCACCTGTTTACTTCAGATTATTCCTTTTATTAGCATCTACAAGAAATGAGTTTTTATATTTCTGCAAAATGACTTCTATCAAGATAACCACAAGCTCCTCTAATCTAGAGATTGGGAGTGGAAAAAATACTTCTTTTGGACTACAACGCCAGAACCCTCAATCAGTGTGACCATGCCATGCTGGCTGTGAGATCCTGGGAGTTGTAATTGAAAAAGTAACTATCTGAAGCTCTGCTCTAATCTATGAATCCACTTGTAATGAGTCATTGAATCCACTTGTAATGAGTAATTCTCATTATTTACATACATACTGTTTAGTCCACTTCAACAACTAACTTCTTAGATGTATCTTATATAGCTGCATTTATGCTAAAACCAACATAATAGAATATTTTCTAGCCAGGTTCTTAAGCTCAAAACAGGAGGATATCATACACAAGTCATAGAAACAGTCACAGAGGGAATCTGGGATTAAGCCTAAACCAACTGTTGAACATTGGATCAGTCCACCTGAACAGTCCCAAAACTCCATCTATTGTGTCCTCACCTTTGAGGTCTCTGTTCTCAGCCAGCATATGCTGCACCGCTTCATGTCCAGCCAGCTCAGCTGGCAGGTGAAGGGGGCCATCTCTGCCAAGAGAAGAGTCGTCCCCCATCATGATGCAATCACTGTGGGGGCACCCGCCTGGCTGTACCATGTCACAGCTCCAGCCGCCGTGGCCTACACTCATTCATCCAGGTCCTGGAAATAAAAAGCATGATGAAGAATGGGATGGACATGCACACAGAGCAAAGCCTAGCTCATTCAGTCACATAAACATCAATCGACCATTGCGCTTGAATAAGAGGAGAGGAACAGCAGGATTTTGCCTTATTTCTCTCTGTGGTTATAAAATACTTTCACTGGGCTATCAGATAGCAGACAGTAGCACATACATCTAAATCCTTCTCTATACAAGCAAAAATGGCTGATGCATTACTTAATAGCTTGTCTATGAAAATTTTAAGTTTGAAACTTTATCCCTTGATCACAGATATTTCTTCTTGTATGTTTTACATGGCGGAGTACTGAATATGAACCTCCTGGTCATGGGCTGAAATATGTAAGAAATACATATTCACAGAGATAGCTAGCCTTCTATGGCCAATTATAAAGAGAAAACAAAGAAACTGAATTCTTGTGTCCCATAAGATGCCTAAGGATAGATTTCTAGCACTGACACTTGGATTTAGTGTAGCGAATAAATTGTATAAATTGTTAAAGGAATGGTATTCCACGTAGTCACCTACGGATGTGAGAGCTGGACCATAGGGAAGGCTGAGCGAAGGAAGATAGATGCTTTTGAACTGTGGTGCTGGAGGAAAGTTCTGAGAGTGCCTTGGACCGCGAGAAGATCCAACTAGTCCATACTTCAGAAAATAAAGCCTGACTGCTCATTGGAGGGAAGGACAGTAGAGGCAAAGATGAAGTACTCTGTTCATATCATGAGAAGACAGGAAAGCTTAGAGAAGACAATTATGCTGGGGGAAATGGAAGGAAACAGGAAGAGGGGCCGACCAAGGGCAAGATGGATGGATGGGATCCTTGAAGTGACTGGATTGACCTTGAAGAAGCTGGGGGTGGTGACGGCTGACAGGGAGCTCTAGCGTGGTCCATGAGGTCACGAAGAGTCGGAAACAACTGAACAACAATAAATTGTGGGACAGATAGCTTGTGACTCTTCAGATGCTGAAGGACTACAACTCTCAACATCCCTACCTAGTAGTTATGTCTCATGGGAGCTGCAGTCTTACAGCATTTGGTGGACCACAGCTACCCATTCGTGTAACATGCAAGAGAGACCTAAATATATAATATATAAGTCCAGCCACAAAGCTTCCTGGGTGATCATGACCCACCTACCATCTCAGCCTAATTTATGACAGTGTTGTTGCATTTTTTTTGAGTGGGCACATAATGAGGTTCATGGATACCACTCTATATTCTTTAACAACAAAAATGTAATATATACAAAGGATTATAAGGAGGAGCCTATCAACAAGTACTAAATGTAACTACAGACAGTCATAGAATCATAGAATAATTGTGTTGGAAGAGACCTCGTGGGCCATCCAGTCCAACCCCCTGTCAAGAAGCAGGAAAATCACATTCAAATCACCCCTGACAGATAGCCATCCAGCCTCTGTTTAGTTTTAGAGTAGTGGTTCTCAACCCTAGGTGTTTTGGCCTACAATTCCCAGAAATTCCAGTCAGTTTACCAGCTGTTAGGATTTCTGGGAGTTGAAGGCCAAAACATCTGGGAACCCACAGGTTGAGAACCACTGAGTATTTATTTGAATGATAATTTTAACATCCTACAAGGAAAGACTATGTAACCTATTTGGGTTAATTGCAATGGTCTATTTTATGTTGTATGTTTCTGTGCTGTTGTAAACCGCAGTTTATTGATTTTATCTTGTACTAGCCATCCCCTGGCTCAGTCTGTGTATATGTGCTTTGTATGTGAATGTGTGTCTATATGTGCATGTATATATGTGTGTTTGCGTAGATATATGTGGTTTTGTGCATGCGTTGTAATGTATTTTTTTTAATTTTTTGGCTTTTTAAGTCTCTTCTGCTGTGTTTTTCAGCGTTTTATGAGTGATGGTCACTGGCTGGCCCGATACGTGTATTGTGTCCAAATTTGGTGTCAATTCATCCAGTGGTTTTTGAGTTATGTTAATTTCACAAATGAACATTACATTTTTATTTATATAGATGATGATGATGTGGACAGCAATTGCCTTAACTTATAGGAGAGAGACATTTTTATACTTTTATATTTTTACACAGATTTTAGCTGCTTAATGTGTTATTTATGAGGCCTGTTTGATAATATGTTTTAGCCAATGTTGGCTAAGACTCTATGAAACTACATCTCCCAGGAGTAGTGTCAGACTCCCATTGATTCTGCACCCAGAGTCGTTTTAGGGGGAGAGCCTGGACAATTTGGGATACAACTCCCAGAATCCCCCGAGGGAACAGCCATCTGCCCTACCGAAGGGGGGATTCTGGGAGTTGTAGTCTCTACAAACAAACTTATCATCTGCCAAAGAAGGGATTTCTGGACTTGCTCCCAGAAAAGGAAGACCTCAGCCAGGCTTAGCCCACTTTGCACTCCTCTTGAGCTCCCAAATGCCATGTATATTGTAGTTTTTGGACCCCAGGCACCTCAGTTTCACTTTTAGGGCAGGAAGGAAGGGCTCCTGTCCGCACACCTCCTTCGGGCGGGAGTCACAGGCTCAGTCCCCAGTCTTTGACACCCCCTTCCCAGCTCCTATTCCCTCCTTTCACCGCCTGAGTTTTACGAAAAACAGAGAGTCGCACCTTTCCTTTCGACGCCAGCCTGCCCAATGCCGCCGTCTCCTCCCGCTTCCTCCTTCCTGGAACCTTGTTTTGGTCTGATCCGGAAGTGACGTCCAGAAAGAGAAAGCAACTCCGGGAATCGAAAGGAGCAAGACCGAGGCGGAAGTGACGTCAGCAGGCGGCCAGACTCAGAGAGGGAAAGCGAAGGCGAGAAAATGGGCCTGGTCTTAGGGCTGGGAGGGGGAGACCCTTAGTGCCTTTCATGGCGGGATTGAAGAGGGAATCACCCCAAGAAGGAAATAAAGAAGGAATGTGTGGACATAGAATCAAAGAGTTGGAAGAGACCTCATGGGCCATCCAGTCCAACCCCCTGCCAAGAAGCAGGAATATTGCATTCAAATCACCCCTGACAGATGGCCATCCAGCCTCTGTTTAAAAGCTTCCAAAGAAGGAGCCTTCACCACACTCCGGGGCAGAGAGTTCCACTGCTGAATGGCTCTCATTCTTCCTCATGTTCAGATGGAATCTCCTGTCTGGTAGTTTGAAGCCATTGTTCCTTATCCTAGGGCGACAGAAAACAAGCTTGCTCCCTCCTCCCTGTGGCTTCCTCTCACATATTTATACATGGCTATCATATTCCCTCTCAGCCTTCTCTTCTTCAGGCTAAACATGCCCAGCTCCTTAAGCCGCTCCTCATAGGGCTTGTTCTCCAGACCTTTTATCATTTTAGTTGCTCTCCTCTGGACACATTCCAGCTTGTCAATATCTCTCTTGAATTGTGGTGCCCAGAACTGGACACAATATTCCAGGTGTGGTCTAACCAAAACAGAATAGAGGGGTAACATTGATATCCCCCCAGGCGGCAGGATCTCCCGCCTTCAAGCTGGTCTGAACCGCAGCAGGGAGTTCCGCAGTTCCGGAGAGCCAAGTTGGGCCTGACTGATGGAATGTGCCCCAGCGAGCAGCTCAAGCTAAACTCAAGGCTGCAAGAAGCTTTTCTTTCACTTTCCCCTCTCCCTCTCTTTGTAACAAAGCCCCTAATAAAACACTTAAGATTTGAAACTTTAAATCCTTTCCGCTTGATACTTTGTGTCCTTTACTGACTGAAACTTTTCTAACATAAAATAAACCTTTTTCTGAGCTCCGGGGAACCGTGAGCTCACCGGGGATGCCTTCCCGGCCTCCCCGGGCCCCCAAATCTGCGTTAGTTAAAACCGCGGATACGGAGGTTTTCCTAATGGGCCCCCTTATCCGCCAAAACAACAACATGGCGGATCGGCCCCGTTCAAATTTCATATTTTTCTACATTAAATTCTAAGACTAACTGCCATCTTGGTTTTCTTCATTTTGGACTCCTGCACCCGGGAAATAATTGTTTTTGTTTAAATATTAAATCTGGCCGAGTCAACAGCTGATTGTCAAATTTTCGCCGGCTTTTCCGGACCGCTTCGCTGCCGCTCGCTCCTGCATGGCCCCCGCCGCTGGGGACCCATCGCCGTCGCCCAAGGGGAAGCCTTGGGAGAGGAGGATCGGGCAGGGAGGCCCGATCCTCGGTTGGGAGCGCTAGTTTTACCAAGGACAGAGCAGTGGAACCCAGCTCCCCCTTCAGCTCCAGCTCCTGCTTCTAGGAAGAACCGATCTTCTGTTGGCCGGCCTGGACCATGGGCCGACCTCCACCTCCAAGCCCCTTCGCCCGGACTTTGGGATTTCCAGTTTTCCTTCCCTTTTTTTAATGAAATAAATAAAGATATTTTCTTACTGTAATGAACTGGGGCTGGGATGGATTGTGGGTTGTAAAAATATGAAATGCCTGTAAATTAGTGATGCCTATGCCTTATGATTATGATAGATGTAACCCTTATGAATTCCTCTGTATCCTCACCCCCTTGACCCTCGCCCCACAAAACCGGCGTGACCAGGAACTGCCTGAGGAAAGAGCCCCAGCCTCTTCCTCAATCACCCATTGATTGACTCATCAGCATGGACAATGCTGCTGATCCCCAACCCTAGCCATCGGAGCAAGGCCAGCGAGGGAAGGGGGTCAGCAGAGCCTCGGAAAAAAAGAAACTGATTGAATCACCCAGATATCGTTGACCCCCCGGGAGGCCCGATTTCGAACTAGCCCATTCAAATCACTCGCCAGACCCATCAAGGGCAGGAAAGCTCTTTGTTTGCCAAATATCACCCTTTTCCCGCCCAAGACAAAGCCCGCATTCCAGCGGGCAGGAAATCCAAATCCCATCATCTTTCCCCTTTGTCTGCGGCCGTTCCGCCTCCTCACTCCTGATTGGTCTAAACTCAGAAGCGAGCGGAGGGCGCCCATTGGCCCTCCCGAGGCGCAGGAACGTTCTGATTGGCTGAAAGCTGAGGCGGGCCGCCAAGCCTCCTCCCAGCTGTTCCAGCCTCAGCCAATCAGCGTCAAGCCGGCCGGCAAGGGGCGGCGGGAGTTTCAAACTGCTTTCTTTTGTCCTGTACTGTATAAAAATGCCTGAAATCTTTGTATCTGTATGCTTGTAGAGGAACTATCCCTACAATTGCATCCGACTCAGCTGAATCGCAAATAAACCTCGATCGCTGGACTTCTTCCGCCTCTGGTGAGCTTATTATATTTTAAAATATTCCTGCGCTCTTGGATTGGCTTCCGGAAAATCTCACCAAGGTATCCAGGACTCTCTTTGGTGTAGTCCTAGGGCTCTCCCCCCTGGAGGGACCCCCCAAAAGAGCTCGATATCAGCATTACTTCCCTAGATCTAGACACTATGCTCCTATTGATGCAGGCCAAAATCCCATTGGCTTTTTTTGCCGCCACATCACATTGTTGGCTCATGTTTAACTTGTTGTCCACGAGGACTCCAAGATCTTTTTCACACGTACTACTCTCGAGCCAGGCATCCCCCATTCTGTATCTTTGCATTTCGTTTTTCCTGCCAAAGTGGAGTATCTTGCATTTGTCACTGTTGAACTTCATTTTGTTAGTTTTGGCCCATCTCTCTAATCTGTCAAGATCATTTTGAATTCTGCTCCTGTCCTCTGGAGTATTGGCTATCCCTCCCAATTTGGTGTCGTCTGCAAACTTGATGATCCTGCCTTCTAACCCTTCATCTAAATCATTAATAAAGATGTTGAACAGGACCGGGCCCAGGACGGAACCCTGCGGCACTCCGCTCGTCACTTCTTTCCAGGATGAAGAGGAAGCATTGGTGAGCACCCTCTGGGTTCGTCCATTCAACATGAAACACAATACATTAGCACTAACAACTAAATTATGCAGACTGATTAACTGGCCTCTTCCAGAAAATTAGAAACATTGGAGGTAAATTTCAGGAAAAAATTGGTATGATAAGAAACAAAGATGGCAGGGACCTAACAGAAGCTGAAGAGATCAAGAGAAGGTGGCGAGACTATACAGAAGATCTGTATAGGAAGGATAATAATATTGAGGATAGTTTTGACGGTGTGGTGAATGAATTAGAACCAGATATCCTGAGGAGTGAGGTGGAATGGGCCTTAAGAAGCATTGCTAACAACAAGGCAGCAGGAGACGACGGGATCCCAGCTGAACTGTTTAAAATCTTGAAAGATGATGCTGTCAAGGTGATGCATGCCATATGCCAGCAAATATGGAAAACACAAGAATGGCCATCAGACTGGAAAAAATCAACTTATATCCCCATACCAAAAAAGGGAAATGCGAAAGACTGCTCCAACTTCCGTACAGTGGCCCTTATTTCTCATGCCAGTAAGGTAATGCTCAAGATCCTGCAAGGAAGACTCCAGCAATACATGAGCGAGAGTTGCCAGATGTTCAAGCTGGGTTTAGAAAAGGCAGAGGAACGAGAGACCAGATTGCCAATATCCGCTGGATAATGGAGAAAGGCAGGGAGTTTCAGAAAAACATCTACTTCTGCTTCATTGACTATTCTAAAGCCTTTGACTGTGTGGATCATAATAAACTGTGGCAAGTTCTTGGTGGGATGGGCATACCAAGCCACCGTGTCTCTCTCCTGAGGAATCTGTACAAGGACCAAGTAGCAACAGTCAGAACTGACCACGGAACAACAGACTGGTTCAAGATTGGGAAAGGCGTACGGCAAGGCTGCATATTCTCACCCAACCTTTTTAACTTGTATGCAGAACACATCATGCGATGTGCGGGGCTGGATGAATGCAAAGCTGGGGTGAAAATTGCTGGAAGAAACATGAACAACCTCAGATATGCAGATGACACCACTCTGATGGCCGAAAGCGAGGAGGAGCTGAGGAGCCTTCTAATCAAGGTGAAAGAAGAAAGCGCAAAAGCCGGGTTGCAGCTAAACATCAAAAACACCAAGATTATGGCAACAAGAATGATTGACAACTGGGAAATAGAGGGAGAAAATGTGGAGGCCGTGACAGACTTTGTATTTCTAGTGCAAAGATTACTGCAGATGCAGACTGTGGCCAGGAAATCAGAAGACGCTTACTTCTTGGGAGGAGAGCAATGTCCAGTCTCGATAAAATAGTAAAGAGTAGAGACATCACACTGGCAACAAAGATCCGCCTAGTCAAAGCCATGGTATTCCCTGTAGTAACCTACGGATGTGAGAGCTGGACCTTAGGGAAGGCTGAGCGAAGGAAGATAGATGCTTTTGAGCTGTGGTATGGAGGAAAGTTCTGAGAGTGCCTTGGACTGCGAGAAGATCCAACCAGTCCATCCTCCAGGAAATAAAGCCCGACTGCTCATTGGAGGGAAGGATACTAGAGACAAAGTTGAAGTACTTTGGCCACATCATGAGGAGACAGCAAAGCCTAGAGAAGACAATGATGCTGGGGAAAGTGGAAGGCAAAAGGAAGAGGGGCCGACCAAGGGCAAGATGGATGGATGGCATCCTTGAAGTGACTGGGACTGACCTTAAAGGAGCTGGGGGTGGTGACGGCCAACAGGGAGCTCTGGCGTGGGCTGGTCCATGAGGTCACAAAGAGTCGGAGACGACTGAACGAATGAACAACAAAAAGAGAAAGAAAACATGGAGGCAGTGACAAATTTTGCATTTCTAGGCCTAAAGATTACTTCAGACGCAGTCTGCAGCCAGGAAATCAGAAGACACTTACTTCTTGGGAGGAGAGCAATGACCAATCTCAATAAA